TATGAATCGTCTTATGTTATTTATTGCCGATAAACAGAAAATGCACACTTTCTGAAAGTACTGTGTGATAAGTCACGCACCAAACCTATACTCTCGATATACATGCTGCTCTTACTTAAAAAAGAATATTGGGTTAACAAGATACGTATATTAAAGTAACATGCTTTCCTGATGTGCTCTCATTCTAATTTGAAATAATGGCATAAATAGTTACCACTCATCTTTCAATATTTTTCAAGGTTGGGTTTATCACGAACATATTTGAATATGTACAACATCTATACTTACTTATCTTTATACTTAAAGGCATCAGGTTTGTCTGTCATAAGACCCCGAAACAAATATGTCCAACACAGCCCAATATTTGGCTCTTGGCTCCTTGTTCTTATATTTTATAAGTATTGTTTAAACAACTGTTTTTTTTCTGTAAAATATGTTCATTTCAGAAATTAGATGTTATTCTAGCATTAGGTCTGTGGTACGTTTACTGCATCAGCATTACATTAAAACGATATTACATTATATAAATCCATACAGAGGAAATGCTTAACATTTATCTTTTAAGGAAGAGTGCAGGACGACTTGCTTTATACATATAAATGTGGACATATATGTATGGACATTTGGATGATACAGATATATCTGACTTGGTTGATGCATGTCATCGTACCCCAAATGCGTAGATCGGTGCTTTTGATGATAATGACTGAATTGTTTGGTCCAGACTGGATTATTTACGAACCACCGTCATATAGCTCGTATATTGCTGAGTGCGGCGTTAAACAACAAACAATCACACAAAAGCTTAATAATTATTAAATACCTTCCGACACTGAGAAATTAAAGTTATATTTTCTAAATATTCTGTTATATTTATAACATAATTTGATTCATAATTTAATTATTGCGTTGCTTTCTTCCCTATCATTCAATGTGCATGTTCAAACCCCTAAACTTTTAATATTTCATTTTTCATAAAAGGCTACGTTAGTGCGTTGCCTAGATCTCTCGTTACCTACTCACAAGAATAGATTAAAATAATTTGTTTTACTATCATATTTCTGTTTATCTAATTCATAATACGAAATTGATAATTCATTTATAATAGTATAGATCATATTCGTGTATATCACTATCTGATGCTAAGGTTTTATTTCAGAAAATATAATTAATTCAAAATGTAGAAAGATACACAATTTGCCATTATTTGACTTTTAAACTGTACAAAGTATGATATAATGATCAGAATGCCTGTAACGGGTAGTATTTAAGAAAGAAATATTTGTCGAGAAGTCCCATTTTTCAGATATGCCCTTCAGTAGTATTATTGCATATCTCCAGAGAGAGGTTTACATTGTAGTTCTCATTATTTGTGGATAATTCAAAAAGCAACATAGAAAATATATATGCTACCATGACGAAGAATACAGAGTATACATAACTCGCAATTCTATATATTCAGCAAACAGCCCCAAACCGAAACTCCACAACATATCCGATTACACAGATTAAGGCTGTCCCAGTTCTCCATGCGATACTGACGCCCGTTCGTCTCCCAGACCATATAGAATAAATTTAAAAGGAATCCAGCTCAAGTCTAGAACGATTTGGCAAGCCTAGATTGCCTTAATTCTATCCATGAAAGTAAGCATTAATACAAACATATTGTTCTTGTCTGCTTCAGATTTTATTTTGTAGATACTTATTTTAACTAGGAAAATTGTACTGACACCGGCGCTGTCCCTATTGAAACTATCCATAAGAATTTCGAATTGCCGTCCATTGTTCGATGTCAATACATCGATGACAAGTGAGGATATCATAAAGTAATCGTTGATGCCGCGCTACACTTTGATAAAAATTATAATCAAGTTGACTGGTGTGTACATTACTACAGTGAACATGTACATGATCATGCCCTAATAATCAAATGCCGTAATGTCAAATACTAATTTATTATTGTGTGATGAATTTAACTGGATCAGTGGTAACATGTGATATTAATATTCCATCAATTTCTTTCCTGGTTGGTCCATCCATGTCTACAAAATGAAAATAATACAATGAAAATGGAGCATAGAACAATTCTTAATTTCAGGCTAGAGCTGTGGAAATCTAGACTTTCCCAATCATTATAGACTTGAGTTGGTCTCATGTTTTACATTATTCTCTTGGGTCAACGTCACAGCTCATACCAAACACTAACAAGACCAGCTTGCCCCCCGCCGGAGCGCCTGGATTTTGGTTATATCATCTAACATGGCCAACTCTGCTCTTAAGTAAACAAGAACCTAATCAGCGAGGGGTCCTTTATCATCCCTATGTGGCTGCTTATAAAAATCTGATATCTTTTCCCAAAGACCTGGTTATTAATATATTTTCTGCTGAATATTCGAAACAAATAGAGTGAGTTGGTACTACATGTACATATGTATACGGTTCTATTTTAAATGACTGCAGCGCTCCATTAGGAAAACAATTTGTTTTAACGCCGCTCTCATCAGTATTCCAGTGATATATGACGGCGGTCTGTTGTATATGAAATATATGCAAATTGAATCTTGAATCTTGAAAGTTGTAACATTTCCGCAAATAAGTATCACATGCAGTATACAGTTTATCAACTGCAATATACTGTATACATCAGTATACAGTGTGTCGCGAGCTCTGTGCTGGGCTGGAGCACACATTTCCTACACCTCTCCCTTCGGCAAACACATCACGAGGGTTGCAACGAGGTCACAGGTCAGGCGTGCACTCGTCAGTTGTCTAATACGGTCAAGAGTAAGATCTTCCGGAAGACCACTGCACTGGAGGTATGTGGATTATTGAGGAGGTACTACGTGTTTGGAACTGGGAGTTGAACACTGAGCACTTTTAGAGAAGAGCTCACAATAAAACGTTATGGACTCGCGGACGGACTTGTGTTTTCATTTCAAGACGTACATTTATCAGGTTGAACTTCCTAACTGTAACAATAACTGAACTTTACGCCTTTTATACACATTTGTGATGGGGCTACAATGCGACGAGACATATTTTGACCTTGAAAATGTCGCGTTACGGCATCGTCGCCCTTTTGTAAAATAAAGAAAAGGATTATCAAAGAGCGACAATGCGAACACGAGACAATGCGACAAATGGCCAATTGTCGCGCTTTTGTTAATTTTGACACGTTTTGCTTGTTTTTGTAAAGGCGTCAATGCGACAATGCGACAACGAGACAATGTCCCTTCCATAGTAATCCGTGCAAATAAAACTGAGTAATGAAATCGAACTCTGACATGCCAGTTAAAAGATAGAGTGTTGCAGCTTCTGATTTCATAGATCTTCAAGAAGGGTTACCATTAATGGGATGGGTGATGAGTTACGCTGCATACGCTGTGATTAACAATAATGCTCCGAGTCAATACATTTTGTCAAATGTATGATATGTATTACGTGAATGAACATATTGTTTATACTCGTCCATGTTTTTGACGGACAAAATAATTTACATGCTCGGTAAAACTGAGGACGGGCATCATTGTGTGTTTCCGTGCTTTGTTCAGGTGAACAATTGACTTGTCTTTGCATGTGTTTGTGACGGGTGCCACTTGTGTGGCAGGATACGCTCACCTTTTCCCGAACACCCATTGGATGACCTGAACCACTTCGGATTTTTATCCCACATCAGTCTGATACACCATGATATAACTGAAATACTGAAATACTGTACAGTTGAAAATGATGTTTAATGCGATTACCGTAGTGTGTTACTGCAACTGTTCATATTTTGTGCAGTGATGTTATGTAATATGTAAAAGAAAGCATATTCAATTATCCAATTGATTTGAATAGAATATACTTGCGTCAGTGTATTTTATTAACGCCCCAAATCGTAATTTAAACACATAAAATAACAGATCACGCATGGTGCCTTGACTTACTACTAGATTTAATGGGCCACCCCGGAATAAAATAGTTCCCCCAAAGCGAGGAACATATGTTTTAGTATGTTTACAAGAAATATATTCCAAACAATATCCTCATTAGATGAGAAGATATTTTACAGAATTACCTCAGTAAGTCAATTACAATGACAGAGCGTCGTAATACATTTACATCAAGTACAATACGTCAAAATGGCCGACACGATAAACGTGACGGGAGATATTTTCGAAGTTGTTAATTAACCTGTGGCTATTTCAAGCCTTTGGCATCACTGATCAATTGGCCGATCATTGAAAGGTGATTGTGAAGATGTGTCAAATAGATACTAAGGTAAAATCATAGATTTCTGTAAATTGTCACTGCGACAGTTTGGATTTTTTTCGTGTTTTTTCTCTCTGGGATGGGTTGTAGCGAGGGTATCCTTAAATGGGCTTGCAACCACGCTTCTGTATGAATTCGTACCAGGGAATTCCAAGGGTTTTCCCCAGGAATGTGGAAGTAGTCAGTGTTTACGCCTTTTCAAGAATACAGTAACGTGAAGAACGTCATGTGACCGACCTCGCGTCCAAGTCGTATATCTTGTAAACTTCACATTAAAAAATTAGTTATTGTTATAACCAAATGAAACACAACCCATTATCCGATAGGGGTAACTGTGTTACCACAATAAACTTAGTAACATTGTTTGGTTTGACTTCTTGGCGCGTGTCTGAATTCCATTAACATGTAACATATCCTAAAACTAGCTTATCAGCAAATCTCGCTGCACTGCGCGTGACAGATACTAGAGCAAGGCATGCCAGAAATACGAAACCTAAAGCTTCCGAAAGGAAGCCTTGGACATCACGTGCGTCGGGGGACCAGCGCGATCTGATTGGCCGTTAACAGTTGTACAAGGCGGAGCAAAAAGCATCGTTTTTCCGTCCATTTTACGCTTGAAAAACTCGACCCTTTTCTTGACACTTTCTAGACGCTGACCAATTAATCAATTTTAATGAATTTTTAGTCGTTTTTCCGTCCAATGACCATATACGGAAAAAAACGACGTTTTCGTGTTTGCAGTGTTATGTATTTGTTCTTGCCCTTGTTTTCCTCCAGCTGGGAGTCATTGTAAGGTCGGGTGAAGGTATTGGACAGCTTCTGCAAACAATCAATGAAGAGCTGGTTAATATGTTATATCCCCTTGACATCGATAACCAATGATATATATTAAGTTTAGGGAAGACACGTGAACTAATTGGTCGCGCTGACCTGATACTCTGCCTGGAATCCCCCGACGGGCACCTGCAGCTCCTGGATCCGCTCCCCCAGCTGATCTACAGACACCACCGTCACTGGAAGAGCTCTTGCTATGTTGTAGTACGTGTCATTGTGGTCCTCCTCTACATCATTGTCGGCCTCGCCCTCCACCCCAACATCGTTGTCCATTGGGTTATCAACGCCTTTGCTCTGTGTGCCTCCCACTATATGCATATTTAATAAATCCATGTTGGTAAGATCACATGGCCACACAATGAAATAATTATAAATATACCACAATAGCTATTTATTTGAGTGAGTGAGTGAGTTCGGTTTAAGGCAACCTTGAACAGTATTCCTGTTATATCACGGCGAGTCAGCTTAATGTGGGAGGACGTCCCGAAATGATGCAGGTCTTTGGTGAAACCAACGGGCAAGGGTATGGTGCTGACAAACCTAGAAATGTAATCGGCTAGAACTGAAATTTGAATTGCGGCGCCTAGGACGACGCGTCCATCCCTGCCTTCTTACTGATATAAGGTGACGATTGGTGTGAGCCTATGACTTATCATAGTGTCATGATCACATTCTAGCTACAAACCTTTTTGTATTTCGAACATGTCTGCATCATTTTCATGCTTCGAGTGACTCCTTCGCCTCCTACGCAAAAGATTAGTATATATTACCCTCACAATTAACTCAAACTCTTCAAAAATAACAAACAGTTGTAAAGTAACACTGGCAATATGTATCAGGTGAGCATTTAAGTCACCCTGCTCGGTAAGATAGGACCTTTGAGTGATACATGTATGCTTACAAATGTACACAGATCCTGTTATCGATTCACCACAACAATATATCAATGATAATGTGAGAGATAGATAATAATTCTTACATGTGCTGGAGTATCACTTTTACATGAGGTACATGTTGAAATAAAAGAAAACCATTTCATTATGTTCCCTAATATCCTTCCGAACATTGAAGCGATGAGAATGGGCAAAGGCAGATCAAGACAGTCCAAATAAATTGCAGCTTGAGACAGATCATCATTAAAGTTCACACGTTCGTCACCGACACCCTCTTGAAGCTACACAAAAGTTGGAGAATACATCACTTAGAATTTATGTGCCCTGATTATGATTATTTTTGTCACATGGTATGACCTTTGTCAGTTAAGCTTATAATGTAATATTTAGCTGACTTTTACAATAAAGCTGACATTTTATTCTCTCTACATTGATACTAATTTATCGTATATCTGATAATTGTTTCAAACAAAACCTGAATGTTTTATATAAATGTTCAGTTATTAACTAGATGAAAGCAACAAAAAGTAAGTCCATTGTACGATTCCGGCTATTTCATTGGTATAAGTCTAGGAATCACTATCAAATAGTGATGATACCAGGTGTTCGAAAAGAGGTGAGCGCATCACAATGTTCAAAACTGCATGCAACGGCAAGTCAAGTAATCACGTGAATAAACACTGGAACATATGGCACAAGTTAAAATGAGGCATTCCACGAAATATTTCTTCCTCATATCTGCCAAAACACGTCGGATGCTCTTTAGAACCTTTATTGATTGTATCTCGAAAATTGTGAAATATAAACACCAAAGGCTTATAGGGTAGTGTTGACATAAACGGAAAGTTGACTATAATTGTTCTCATACAGTCCTATTGATATTTCTTTGTCACTTAGAATCGTTAAATATAAGGTAAAAACAACCCCTTCAAGGTATCGTTAATTTGAACGTTTGATTGATTGGGGTAGACTTAAAATCGCCCTCTTCATAGTGTCGTTCAAACATAGCAAACGTGCTTACACGGGTTGTAATGCAGTGTCAACTTACATCAGTTTTTGATCTTATTTTTCAATTTGCAGGGCACATCAAGCCTACAGCGAGCCAAGGTCGCGTGCCATGTCTACTAACTACAATACGGTTGGCAAACAAGTTTCTTTTTCAGCCTCTTCTTTCAACATATTTAGGTTAACATAGTGCGTGGTACGTGTGCACGTGTTCATTACCTTAGCACAATAACCACAACAATGATGGCCGCAACTGCAATGACAGCAACAATAGACCCAACAATGGCACCTGTATTCTGCGGCGATGGCATACTCATTGCTGGGACAGAGAAGGAAAGAGTTAGGACACAAGCCAGCACACAATACCAAAATTGCAGTAGCTGTTATTTGTCCTAACCGTACATATCATACATTAAATATACAAAATGTATCATGCCAGCCTTTTACTTTAGAAAATGCGTTGAAATACATCATAGTAGTAACACGCCATATATATACATATATCATGTCCATCATGTCCACCATTTGCAATGCTTCTGAGGTCAGGATCTGGCTGAAAGGGGTTTCTGTCTTACAGGAATCTGAGTAGTTTACATGAAACATTTTTGTCTCGTTCCTGTCTGGTTCGATTTGCTTCCATCAATTAGTTAGTTCTCTCATGGCATTACTGATCTCTGTGCTGAAAGGCATTGACATGAGCCACACCAGCCTTTGAGTTTCAGACAGTCCTTCTCCTCTACTCAGTCCACAGTTTGTTTTGACAGTCACTAATTAGACCTTGTTCAATGATATATCTGTGGAAAATCCAACTAGTTGCGATTGGAGCACCGTACAACACTTCATTTGATATACATTATGACACAATAACAATTACTTAAAAGATAATAATCTCACATAAGTGAGCGTGCCCACTACCTTGATTTTGGTAAACATTTAATATGTTATAAAGGGATTAGTTCTATGCGTAAATCAGTTGAAATAATTTCTGTTGCAATTTATGGTGGGTGCTCTGCTCTTTCAACGGGACTAATGGTTATTAAAGTCTATTAAAATATACTCTCTAACGTACTTATCTTCACATTGACTTATTACTAAAACATATAAATGTATAATTGGAGAAATGAATAGGTTTGCCTATCGATTCTATTTTCGTATTATCGTGGATGATCTGAAAACTAACATTCTCTACAATCAGTATTCTTCCATCCGGATATGCAGCCATTTTCACACTGCCCTGTCACGTGATTACACAAAGCGGTTCCACTGCACTTTCTGGAGGAACACAGGTAAGCACAGCCCTCTCCATAGGGATTTACACATTCTGAAATAAGTACAAACGTTGTATAAACAGTATGATGCGCGAATTGCAAGATTAGTTTTAACGTTTTTTCTTTGTCATTCGGGACGATTCCTTGATATTGGTTCTTCCTGTACGTTTTGCTTTGGTCAGAGTGTTTGGTCAGGCACAATTACGTCAAACATAAAGCTGGTGGTAATTGGATGAACTATTCTCTTACCATGAGTACAGTCTGTTCCATTCCATCCAGCAATACAGCCCTCCTCACATTTCCCTGTCACGTGATCACAGATAGAGTTGTCGCCCCTGCAGTTTCTGTTTGAACAAGTCTGAGTACAGTTTGTTCCATAACTTCCATCATCACAAACTGAAAACATGAAATTACTAAGTTCTAAAATTCGTCAATTAAATCAATAACACAGTGATCTGACACAAAGAGTTCTTATATTACCAAACTACAAGTATTATCGCGTTTGTAAGGAATACATTCGATAACGTTGATAAGATATCTGCATTTGAGCAAAAAACATTGGTCACAATTGTCCGTTTTCCCTTCACACAAGCAAACATGACCACACACTTCAATTGTACACACGAATATCTTCACACATGTACATGTACTCACTGACGTACATACCTACATCTATATGAAGCAAAACAGTATGTACTATAGAAGGATGATTATTACTAAAAACAATTTTTGTCATCAGGGACAAATCGTTGATGATGGTTCTTCCGTGTACGTTTGGTTTGGTCTGAATGTTTTGTCAGACATAGTTACGTGTGATATGAAGTTGGCGGTAATCTGCTGAACTATTCTCTTACCATGTGTACAGTCTGTTCCATTCCACCCAGCCGTACAACCCCCAACACATTCCCCTGCAACGTGGTCACAGCTAGAGTTGTCGCCCTTGCAGTTTCTGTTTGAACAAGTCTGAGTACAGTTTGTTCCATAACTTCCATCATCACAAACTGAAAACATGAAATTACTAAGTTCTAAAATTCGTCAATTAAATCAATAACACAGTGATCTGACACAAAGAGTTCTTATATTACCAAACTACAAGTATTATCGCGTTTGTAAGGAATACATTCGATAACGTTGATAAGATATCTGCATTTGAGCAAAAAACATTGGTCACAATTGTCCGTTTTCCCTTCACACAAGCAAACATGACCACACACTTCCATCGTACACACGAATATCTTCACACATGTACATGTACTCACTGACGTACATACCTACATGTATATGAAGCAAAACAGTATGTACTATAGAATGATGATTATTACTAAAAACAATTTTTGTCATCAGGGACAAATCGTTGATGATGGTTCTTCCGTGTACGTTTGGTTTGGTCTGAATGTTTTGTCAGACATAGCTACGTGTGATATGAAGTTTGCGGTTATCTGCTGAACTATTCTCTTACCATGTGTACAGTCTGTTCCATTTCACCCAGCCGTACAACCCCCAACACATTCGCCGGCCACATGGTCACAGATAGAGTTGTCGCTCTTGCAGTTTCTGTTTGAACAAGTCTGAGTACAGTTTGTTCCATAACTTCCAAAATCACAAATTGAAAACATGAAATTACTAAGTTCTAAAATTCGTCAATTAAACCAATAAACAAAATACAATAACACAGTGGCCTGACACAAAGTGTTCTTATCTAACCGAACCACAAAATATAGATTGTGTTTGTAAGGAATTCATTCGATAACGTTTATAAGATATATGCATTTCAGCAAAAAAACATTGGTCACAACTGTTCGTTTTCCAGTAAGGTGTCCACATTTACTCCGACTGACGCAGTTCACGGAATTGCACGCATCACTACACACTGGCGAACATGACCACACACTTCAACTGTAGACACTAATATGTAACATGTAAATGTACTCACTAACGTACATTCCTTCATGTAGATACTTATAAGAACCTCAATGACATATTCAAATGTTATCATTTTAGAGATGAATATGTTAGTCAAGATAATGTTCAACCTCTTCCGGATCGATTCTATTTTCATATTATCGTAGTTGTAAAGGATCTGAAAACTTACCTTCTCTACAATCAGTATCCTTCCATCCGGGTATGCAGCCATTTTCACATTGCCCGGTCACGTGATTACAGGAAGAGCTTCCACTACAATTTCTGGAGGAACACAGGTGAGCACAGCTTTCTCCATAGGAATTTACACATTCTGAAATAAGTACAAAACTTGTATAAATAGTATGGTGTGTAAAATGAAGGATTATTATTACATGTTTTCTTTGTCATAAGGGACAATTCGTTGATAATGGTTCTTCCGTGTATGTTGGGTTTGGTCGGAATGTTAAGTTAGACACAATTATGTGAAATATAAAGCTGGTGGTAATTGGGCGAACTATTCTCTTACCATGTGTACAGTCTGTTCCATTCCATCCAGCCATACAGCCCTCATCACACTTCCCTGTCACGTGGTCACAGATAGAGTTGTCGCCCTTGCAGTTTCTGTTTGAACAAGTCTGAGTACAGTTTGTTCCATAACTTCCATCATCACAAACTGAAAACATGAAATTACTAAGTTCTAAAATTCGTCAATTAAATCAATAACACAACCCCCAAAACATTCCCCGGCCACATGGTAACAGCTAGAGTTGTCGCCCTTGCAGTTTCTGTTTGAACAAGTCTGAGTACAGTTTGTTCCATAACTTCCATCATCACAAACTGAAAACAGGAAATTACTAAGTTCTAAAATTCGTCAATTAAATCAATCTGACACAAATAGTTCTTATATTACCAAACTACAAGTATTATCGCGTTTGTAAGGAATACATTCGATAACGTTGATAAGATATCTGCATTTGAGCAAAAAACATTGGTCACAATTGTCCGTTTTCCCTTCACACAGGCGAACATGACCACACACTTCAATTGTACACACGAATATCTTCACACATGTACATGTACTCACTGACGTACATACCTACATGTATATGAAGCAAAACAGTATGTACTATAGAAGGATGATTATTATCAAAAACAATTTTTGTCATCAGGGACAAATCGTTGATGATGGTTCTTCCGTGTACGTTTGGTTTGGTCTGAATGTTTTGTCAGACATAGTTACGTGTGATATGAAGTTGGCGGTAATCTGCTGAACTATTCTCTTACCATGTGTACAGTCTGTTCCATTCCACCCAGCCGTACAACCCCCAACACATTCCCCTGCAACGTGGTCACAGCTAGAGTTGTCGCCCTTGCAGTTTCTGTTTGAACAAGTCTGAGTACAGTTTGTTCCATAACTTCCAAAATCACAAACTGAAAACATGAAATTACTAAGTTCTAAAATTCGTCAATTAAACCAATAAACAAAATTCAATAACACAGTGACCTGACACAAAGTGTTCTTATCTAACCGAACCACAAAATATAGATTGTGTTTGTAAGGAATTCATTCGATAACGTTTATAAGATATCTGCATTTCAGCAAAAAAACATTGGTCACAACTGTCCGTTTTCCAGTAAGGTGTCCACATTTACTCCGACTGACGCAGTTCACGGAATTGCACTCATCACTACACACTGGCGAACATGACAACACACTTCAACTGTAGACACTAATATGTAACATGTAAATGTACTCACTAACGTACATTCCTTCATGTAGATACTTATAAGAACCTCAATGACATATTCAAATGTTATCATTTTAGAGATGAATATGTTAGTCAAGATAATGTTCAACCTCTTCCGGATCGATTCTATTTTCATATTATCGTAGTTGTAAAGGATCTGAAAACTTACCTTCTCTACAATCAGTATCCTTCCATCCGGGTATGCAGCCATTTTCACATTGCCCGGTCACGTGATTACAGGAAGAGCTTCCACTACAATTTCTGGAGGAACACAGGTGAGCACAGCTTTCTCCATAGGAATTTACACATTCTGAAATAAGTACAAAACTTGTATAAATAGTATGGTGTGTAAAATGAAGGATTATTATTACATGTTTTCTTTGTCATAAGGGACAATTCGTTGATAATGGTTCTTCCGTGTATGTTGGGTTTGGTCGGAATGTTAAGTTAGACACAATTATGTGAAATATAAAGCTGGTGGTAATTGGGCGAACTATTCTCTTACCATGTGTACAGTCTGTTCCATTCCATCCAGCCATACAGCCCTCATCACACTTCCCTGTCACGTGGTCACAGATAGAGTTGTCGCCCTTGCAGTTTCTGTTTGAACAAGTCTGAGTACAGTTTGTTCCATAACTTCCATCATCACAAACTGAAAACATGAAATTACTAAGTTCTAAGATTCGTCGATTAAACCAATAAACAAGAATCAATAACACAGTGTCTTGACACAAAGTGTTCTAATATTACCAAACTACAAATATTGTCGCGTTTGTAAGGAATACTTTCGATGACGTTGATAAGCTATCTGCATTTCAGCAAAAAACATTGGTCACAATTGTCCGTTTTCCCTTCACACAGGCGACCATGACCACACACATCAATCGTCAATTAAACCAGTAAACAAGATACAATAACACAGAAGCCTGACACAAAGTGTTCTTATCTAACCAAACCACAAAATATATATCGTGTTTGTAAGGAATTCATTTGATAACGTTTTAAAGCTATCTGCATTTCAGCAAAAAACACTGGCCACAACTGTCCGTTTTGCAGTAAGGTTCAAGGTTATTGGAGCCATTTGGATTGGTTCTAAAAAGTGAAAAAGGTACAAATTATGTAAGGAATTAAATTTGATTGGTCTTAATCAGAGTTTACGCTTTTTGGAAAAAAATTTAACACTGACCTTCAACAAATGGTAGAAAAAATACAATGAAAAGTACTGCTAATTGAGAAACTCATGAATATTTGGAAGCTGGAAAATTAACTGTTTTGAAATCACTCCTCCGTCCGAAAATCTTTTCAAATCCCCCTGCAAGTAGATGCATTTAAAACAAAAATTATATGGAAGAACAAACGCGATAAAAAAAACCAGCGAAGTTACTGTATGGAATCCTGAACATGGTGGATTTAAAACTCCAACTATTATAGATACAATAAAATATCAAAAGCTGAGATGCATACAAAGAGTACATGATGGTCAACCAAAGTGGAGTTTTTGTTTTCAAAAAGAGTGGCCTATGCGAAGCTATTATGGCCTGCAGACGTTCATACATACATGAAACTATAATTCTATCATTAACAAATATATTCTGGAAAAGATGTGCTTAAAGCTTGGTAAGACTTTATTTAGAAAAGTTAAACTCAATACTTAACAGAAGCAGAACTACAATCTTAGTGTTTATAGAACAATGACATAATAATTGACAAAAGACCAATTATGTATAGCAGCTAGTATGATAAAGGTGTTACTTCTGTTGACGATCTTATGCACCAAGAAGATAGCTTCTTGGCTTATGACGAATTCACACAAAAATATTCTATAGCAACAAATTTCTTAGCTCATAAAAGTGTTGAAAGAGCCTACGCGCATCAATTAAACTATCATATAATTCAAGCATGTTTTATGCAACCCCGTACATACTTTCCAACTTAGGCACATGCACAAATTCTTGGGAACCAAATATTTGTACAATCACCTCCTGAATTCCAATTTTGTAACATTACTAACACACTATAATTTCCTCCCCCAGAATCATATAATTCAAAACATGGTGAAAGTGCAAAGTTCAAGGTCACTGCTTACTGCTCAAGTATATAAACTGGGGACGAAATTATAGTGTCAAGGATTGCGCAACTCACAATATCCACGAATGTCCATGAATATCACAAATAGATGTGGGTGTCCTGTATGGAAATTGAAGGAATGCCAGTAGCATTTAAGAAGATGGGTTTCGAGCCTAATGTGGACTCGCCTAAAGACCTTAAAGCTCGGATATAAGGTCTCTCACAGAAGGAGCATCCTATTAAACATGAAGAGGAACATGAAGGTCAAGCATAAGTGTCACGCCGAGATGTTACTTATCAACATTTTCCTAAACCTCCCCTTTTCAGCGGCGAACCCGGGAAAGGACACAGACTACGATCACTGAATCTATGAAGTGGAATGCCTTTTTGGAACCAAGACCCATAGCCATGACGTCGTCCTTCAAGCTATAAGGAAGTCGCTTAAAGGAGAAGCAGCCATCATATCTATGACCCCCTGAAGATTTTGGAAATCTACTACATAAGTTGAAAAGTGCTTTTGGAACTCTGAGTCAAAGTTCTACTCTTATGTCAGAATTTCACAGTGCCTGTCAAGGAGAAGATGAGGATGTTGCAACCTGGAGCTGCCGTTCGGATCGCCTTATGTTTCAGTTAGCTAAACAGAAATCTCTTTCCCAGGCTGAACAGGATGACATTCTGCACACTCGCTTAAAGGATGGACTCAATCCATCGTTGAAAACTGGCTGGCTACACGTACGACTCCATCTGTAGCTTTGATTATCTGCGCTTGTGCCTAAGGGAAATATAATTGGATCTGAAGTGAGGTAAGGCTGACACCTCAAAGACCAAGCCAAAGGGAAAAACAGCTTCTGTTAACATGGCAACACCATCCGACCCCAAGGAATTCAAGCGTGAACTCACAGAGTTGAAGGCTATGGTAAAAGTGCTACACACTGACTGAGTTACAGCTACAGCAACAGCAACTCTCCGCTCATGTTTTTCAGGAGCATGCACAATTGTCAGGATTTTTAGGGCCTAAGCGTGGACACAGAGGAAGAGGTCAGTATAACAGAGGAAGAGGATCAACAGATAAATGGACTCAAGTTACTACAAGAAGTGGTAACAGCCAGAATCAGCCTGATCAGTTTGGTCCTCCACTTCTAACCTATCAACAGAATTCCCCCATTCCACCAGCATCTACAGCTCCTACAGCCTCCCGATAACAGCCAACTTTAGAATCAGAGATGCCTATCTGCTGGCGATGTGGCTACCCAGGACATCTGTCTGATGGGTGCAGAGTTCGTATGGATCATATGCGACGTCCTTTAAACTGGCCCAGGCCGATGGGAAGGGGTCGCCCTTAGGTTCCTATCTGCGCCCCAGAAGTGATATTCCAGATGGTTTAGTTGGAAGCTACACCAAAGTAACTATCTGGATTGAAGACACACGTGTACAGACTTTGTGAGACACAGGAGCTACCGAATGTGTGATGTCACAATCGTTCTACGAAAGTTATTAAAGCCACATTCCACTCAGTTCACTTTATGATATACTCAACATAGAATGTGCAGGAGGAGAGCAATTACCGTACATGGGATATGTACAGGTTGGAATTACGACTACAGGCTGCAGCAATGACAGTAAAGGAGCCTTATCATGTTTAGTGCTTGTTGTCCCAGACACGAGGTATAATGGACGAGTGCCGGCTCTTTTGGGAACCAATGTACTTTCAAGACTCCTTCACAACAACCGAGATACGGTTGGTGTTCAGTTCCTACAGCGAGCAAGACTCCATACTCCATGTAAACTGGGCTATCAAACTATGGTTCTACGTGAAAGACAGTTGGCAAAGTACGGGAAACTTGGACTTGTAGGATCTTCAGATTTATGTAACATCACCATTCCAGGTAACAGTACTACCATCATTAGGGGACATCTTGCCAAAGGGATTGTTTACCCACAGGTCTGCGCACGTCTTCAAGCCAGAGTCAACTCAGCTGTACCAAGCGACCTTGACATTGCCTAAAAAATCATCAAGTATGAGTGTGACACTCCAACGGAAATAGAAGTCCAACATCACCACACAGACAGTTTGCATCCCTCCTAAGGCTTTACTTTGTGAACTCCAACCTGTCACAGTTTCGGATTTGCCAGTGGACTCTGATACTATCATTAACCAAGTGGAGATAGACAAGGAAGGACTGACCCGTGAACAGATCGCAGATGGACTTGACATAATCCTGAAGTTTAAGCATATTTGTTTTAAAGAGGGATGGTGATCTGGGCAACTGTTCTATGGTAAAGCACAGGATAGACTTATATGACAACACACCATTCAAACAGCGACATCGTAGGATCCCCCATCTATGAAAAAGTTAGGACTCATCTTTGGGAACTTATTTCAGCTAGAGTCATTAGGGGGTCTCATAGCCCATGGGCCTCTAATGTTGTATTAGCAAAGAAGAAAGATGGACGTCTGAGGATGTGCATTGACTTTCGCGAGCTCAATCTCTGGACCATCAAAGATTCCTACGTGCTCCCTTGTATTGAAGAACTACTTGAATGTCTTGGCGGAAATACCTTTTTCTCTGTGTTGGATATGAAGAGTGGTTATCACCAAGTGAAAGTCGGAAAAAAAACACAAGCAAAGAACAGCCTTTACAGTCGGACCACTTGGATTATTTAAATTCAATAGATTGCGATTTAGACTTTCCAATGCTCCTGTAACATACCAGCGTCTAATGGAAAAATGAATAGAAGGACTGCACTTAAAGATCTGCTTGATTTATCTTGACGGCCAGATAATCTTCTAAAAAATCTATAAAGAGCATGTGGAGAGGTTCGAACTTGTTTTCCGCAGGTTGCAAGGATTGTGGACTCAAACTCGCTCCAAAGAAGTGCAAGTTTTTCAAGCGGAAGGTCTGATACATGGGATATATTGTTTCAGCAGATGGCATCGAAGCTGACCCAGAAAAAGTGTACAAGATTAAAGACTGGCCAACACCATCCAATCCAGAAGAATTCCGGAAATTTCTTGGTTTTGCTGGCTATTATAGGAAATTTGTCAAACTCCAAGATTACCAGACCACTATCAGAACTGATGCCAAAGTCAGCATCCAAGAAGTCCAAATCCAAGCAGCACTCAGACAGCATCGACTGGAAATGGGGCGAAGAACAGCAAGAGGCTTTTCAGGAACTCAAGACGCGCTTGTCAACACCACCAGTGCTTGGATATGTTGATTTTTCCAAACCCTTTGAGCTCCACATTGATGTTAGTACTCGGGGATTAGGAGCAGTGCTATACCAGTAGTAGGATGGGCAATTGCCAGTGGAGTTTCTGTGTTTGAAGTTGGCAATCTCAGAGAAGTTCAACGACTACTTGTATGGACATGAGTTAGCAGTTGTCACAGATAACAATCCTCTCACATATGTTTTAATCACTGCTCGCCTTGAAGCTCCTGGTCTCTGCGTATAATTTCAGCATTAGGTACAGACTAGAGAATTGCAATATTGATGCTGTCAAGGCTGCCAGACAAGTTACCATTAGAGGAATTATCCACTGACTCTGTGAATGCCATCTGTAACATCATCCAAGTATCGGTATGTCAACACAAGTCATAGATGAGGATGATATCGATATACATGAAGACAAGTGCGATATCAATGCAAAGGACTGGAGAAGATCACAGATGAGAGATCCATCCCTTGCTACCCTTATTGTCTGCGACACAAGACCAGACACGAATCAATACACTGGAGACAGTAACATGACATCTCTCATCAAGAACTTTCCATAGATGCAGCTGCACACAGGAGTTCTTCATAGAACAACCAAGACGGGTCAAGGAGAACAGTTGCAACTTGTCTTACATAGTAGATGTAGAGGTGCACTGCTGCGCAGTTTGCATGACAATGTTGGTCATTCAGGCAGAGACAGAACCGTTTCTCTCTTGAGGGGAAGATTCTACTGGCCTGGAATGACCAAAGATGTTGAAGTGCATGTGCAATCCTGTGATCGCTGCATCAGGCATAAGACAATTACATCTCGAGCACCTCCAGTGAATATTACAACATCACAGCCACTTGAACTTGTTTGCATAGACTTCCTTGGATTAGAGACATCAAAGGGTGGCCAGCAATGTGTTCTCGTGATAACCGATCACTTCACTAGGTATGCTCAAGCTTATCCTTGCAGGAACACCACTGCAAAGACAACGGCTGAGCTCTTGTTCAACAACTTTGTTGTGCATTATGGCCTCCCGAAGCGGATTCACTCTGATAAAGGAGCAAACTTTGTTGGTACCCTGATGACTGAGCTTTGTACAATGTTGAAGATTGAAAAATCTTCAAACACGTCTTACCATCCAATTGGTAATGGGATTCGTGAACGCTTTAACCGAACGTTGTGCAACATGCTAGGAACCTTGGATCCAGACAGCAAGCGAGATTGGAAGACACTTGTGCATGCTTATAATTGCACTCAGCAGGAGTCTACGAGTCTCCTTTCTTCTTGATGTTTGGTCGGCATCTAAGGCCTCCTGTTGACATAGCATTCGGGCTTGACATTGAGACAAGCAAGCCAAAATATGTTTTGAAGTATACAAAATCTTTACAGGATAGGTTAAAGCAGGCATATGATCTTGCAGCCAAGATGGCAACCAAAGCTCAGTAAAGGAAGAAGACCAAATACGACCCGAAGGCAAGAGCGGCAGTACTGATGACTGGTGACAGAGTCCTTGTGAAGATTGTTGCCTATGATGGTCGTCACAAGCTTGCTGACAGTTTTGGTATTCATTATAATATTGATTTTGATGCAAAACAACAGCATTCAATGTAATTGTCACAGCTTAGTTATATTCTATATTTCACGCCCTTCACTTAAATTACAAATGCCTATTAGTTTACTCACTACTGCGGTAATATATAAACATATTAAATATATTTCACAAATGTACCATTATATACCAATAAATATTAATGTATCTCATGTTTATATGTATACGCGTGTATATGTATGTGTACGTGTGTGGGTATGTAGGTATATGTGTTTGTGTGTAATACTGTATATATATATGTATGTGGGTGTCTGTGGGTGTATCATTATATTTTCTCATTACTTATATATAATTCCTATGCACTGTGATAAATTCTGCGCTATCATTATTCACATATGACAAAGTAATGAAATGTATGCAGGAGAAGGCCTCGTAAGTGAGTCACTTGTGCCTGATCCATTTGATTTTCCGCAAATAAATATGTTTTAATCAAGTCAATATGTTGCTTGTCTGTACCTAAAAATATGGAAATAACAAAATGTTTGCCATGATACTATGCATCTCATAATGTTTGGTATTTGCTGTTTTCTTCACCTTCAGCTTCAGGGTTGTTCAATATAATTTGCAAGGTACTTGTGGATTCTGACTTGTATGATTTGTATTTGTATTTGTATTATCAGGACCAATAAATATCATATAACTCCCCACCGTTAACCTCCACTTCACAAAAATCCATGATGGGCATTTTATATCCACTATCGTTGTTGATAGTGGTGGTGTACAGGACCAGATTAAATAATGTAACCACATTTACATACAATGGGTTCTGATTACGGCTTAAGTGTAGTGGGAAACATAACCCGTACCGTCAACCTCCACTTCACAGAAATCCAGGACGGGTACGTTGACATTGTTGATCTCGTTGTTGACAGTGGTGGTGTACAGGACCAGATAGCGCCCTTCACCAGAACATGTGACGTTCAAAACATCAGGTATGTCTGTCCCGTTTCTGTTCCCTGTCACGTTGTAGCAGTTGACGCCATCAGTTAGGGAGGCGGCAGTATCAGCTATGTAGATCTGGATACCATTCCGACGAACTATATCTGTTAAACGTGAAACATCATGATTATAATTACTGTATTGTAACAGTTTCAAGTATTAGTAATTAAGTCTTCTTTACATCTGACAAGTAGTATACACCTATATTCTTTATCACAGATCGAGGTGAAAATAGCGCCAAACCGTTACCAAAGTTATAAATGTTATGGGAACATGACGACTGTATGTGCATATATCCTCGTTTATCAACGTCGAATTGTTAATTGTTCAATTGTCAGGCTGTCAGGCTGTTATTTGTCTCAAGAAGACAATTGTTAATGATCATATGAAACACATTGTATTTTTAGATCTAATTTTCAAACTAACCACGACATGATTATTGCAATCCGCCAGGGGAAAAACAAAATAATGAGTAACATTTCCTTCCATGGACGTATTAATCAATAATGTCATTTTCAGGAAATCCATATTCATCATTAAACGTATTAATCAATAATGTCATTTTCAGGAAATCCATATTCATCATTAAAAATAATTTATCTAAAATATTTACACATACATATAAATATATGTAGATGTGCTTTTCTGGATAAACCCAAACACCGTTGTGTCGAAGTTGAAGGACTTAAGACGAATCACACTAATATACTTAGAAGATTTGACCTTCCTTTTAACGCATGTATAAGAAAAGGGTTTAATTCGTAATCTCAATACCATGATTTCATTTGACCACAATTGCGCGCATACTATGACAACAAAGGACTATCATGTTTTCACACAACCCACGATGTAATTTTAGATAAAATACGCTATCAAAACCGATCTAAAAGATCATCTTCCATGCTAAATAAATACATTATATTTTCAAATCACGTCCAGGGTGAGGTGAAATGGGGTTTAATGTGTGTGTGTGTGTGTGTGTGTGTGTGTGTGTGTGTGTGTGTGTGTGTGTGTGTGTGTGTGTGTGTGTGTGTGTGTGTGTGTGTGTGTGTGTCACGGTTGTGTTCATCCTATGATATGCACTGCCACGGAGATACTTCTCTCCTTACGTAGTGTCGGAGAACTTCTCTCCTTACATAATTTTGGAGGTTCGTCTTTCCTCCTACGTACTATCGAAAGTACTTCTTTCCCCTTACGTACTTGAATTTAAGTATAATCGACCAGTTCCGCGACACTACAATATAATACATGCAACAAAAGTCACTAAGGAATGTGTCATTACCTTCTAATACATACAACAATGCATCAATACTCCGATTTACATTTTACTGATTGGAACTGTTTATACTTTAATCATATGTTATTTTGGGTTGTTGTCGTTGTTGTTTTTACAGTGGCCTGCCGTTATTACAATCAATATATGTATATAATTACATTTGAAAACAATGTTTAGCCGGGTGGGGGTGTTAACTCTGAATGAGTTAGCCACATAAGTACCACCCTCTCACAACCCCCTAGTATTCATTATATACTGAACCGCAAAAGAACCGCAATGTCAACCCAAGTAACATTGCATGAAAAGTTGTCATTTAAATATCTGGGTAATTTTAGTCAAGGTGTATAAGGACCATATACAGGCAACGGTACCAGACCACCAACACTACAGATGACCGAGTCAAGGGTGAACACACGGCGTCAGGATCGTCAGATTGTGCGACAGCATCTTCAAGATCGCTTTGTTACTGCTGCGGAAATTGCTCGACAGACCATGGGGACACACCAGCGACACATTAGTGCGGACACTGTGCGTTCTGACACCATTCTGACACCACGTCATCGTCGGGACAACAGTGGGCAACACAGGCGAGAGCCGTAACTGTATATCAACAGCAGATGGCAGAGAGAGTCTGTCGACGCTGAAGGGAACGTTATTCGGATGCTTGTGTTGTTGAGAGAGACTCGTGGGGTGGTCCGACCATCATGGTGTGGGATGGAATTGTTCTTGCACAGAGGGTCGGTCCTGTGGTCTTCCAGAACATCGGTCCAGGGAACGGTGTCACAGCAGCTCGGTATATTGATTAAGTCTTGAGACCACACGCCATACCTCATTTGACACGTCGCAGAAACCACAAGTTTCAGGTGAGGTGAGGTGAAATTGGGTTTAACGTCGCGTCCAAGATTATTGCACTTATATAGCGACGTGCGTGCACGTGTATTTGTGTGTGTGGCTGCTTGTACTAGTCCGGACTGATGCCGATTTATAGTGCTAGCTCACTGAGATACCATGCCGCAGTTTAACATGAATACCCCACTCAGACACAGTATACTGACTCCGAGCCGACCAGTCCTTGTTTTAGCCCCTTAATGCCGAGCGCCAGACAGGGTAACAACAAGTACAATCTTTTAACGTCTTTTTGTATGACGCGGCCCGGGATCGAACCCTGGACCTTCCGCTCTCCGGGCGGACGCTCTACCACAAGACCACGGAGGCGGTCCACAAGTTTCAGCATGATAACACCCGTGCCCACATTGCAAGAGCAACAAGAGACTTCCTCCAGCAGAGTGGCATCAGGACCATGCAGTGGCCTGGCCTCAGTCCCGATTTAAATCCCATTGAGCACCTGTGGGACGAGATTCAAAGAAGGCTGAATGACGTCCGACCAAGGCCGACAACTGCAGCTGGACTGCGTCAGGCGTTCCTCAGAGTGTGGGCTCAAGTGCCCGTGGCCTTAATCAACCGCCTCATCCATTCCATGTATTGACGATGCACGGCAGTCATCAATGCCCATGGCGGACACACGAGATACCGACTTGTGATGCCTCAGAGACTAGTGTTGTGTTTAACTTTAAGAACATTTGACACTTTAATTTCAACCTTGGTCATCAGTTTTGCCAAGTTTCGTCCTTTTACTACGTCTCAAAGCATGTTTACAGTGTTTGGACAAATAAAGTTCATATATCTATCCATGGTGACGTTTCTTTTGCGGTTTTGTGTATTTTAAATAATAGATTGTTACAACAGCACGTGCTATAGAACAAGTTTCTTCTTACAGCTGCAATTTATATGGGATACCGTTCTTTTATGTGGATATTGATGGACACATTCCTCAAACAAGTTAATTGCCTAATACTACACATATAACTTTTGTCGGTTGTAATTACTATATTTGCATTTTGCTGTGGCATTGAACCGAATCATTCTAGTTCCTTAGCGTAATTAATGAGGAGTTTTTGCGATGCGCGTGAGCCGTTGGTTTCACGTGCATTTCCCTTTGATTTGACATTTGTCAATGAGTAAAATGTGTTTACATCCATTTGAATTGTGAAACAGATTGACTTAACATTATGAAGAAGTTCAAAAGGGCTTAAAACACACCACAAAGTACTCCTTATGTCAGGATAAGCAGTCATTAAATGTATAAATATACATTGACTTTCCATTTTTTTAATGGTATCATTTTCAGTCAATATGTGATAAAATATAATATAGAATGGCTGGAATTCGTTATCATGACAACATGAATGGACAGTGTTTAAGGTTGTTTTTTTTTAAAAATAACTGAAATATTTAGGCGTTTTGTAAATTGCCTAAGTGAAAAATTCAGTCCATTTGCACATTGACTGTAACATAGACACGCGATGCTATACGCAAGGCTAGGTGAAATCATTAGTTTGTGTTTCAAGTCACAATAGTGTGATCGAATCGCAGAATATCTAACACGAGACTTATCACTGACTTATATTGGCCTATATCCGAAATATGTTATCAGGCACAATTACATACTTTTCTTATATACAAATGTTGGAACCAGATCAACTGCCGCCTCAGATACTTCGCTGAAGGATCATGATCGTCGACTGTACTTTATCTTGCGACAAAGAACTCTTTTTGAGTTTCGTCATAATGGGCTGACGTCATTGTGCTGTTCACATTCACCACCGACAATCTCTAAATAGTAACAGGCATCATTCCTAAATGTGATGATTAAGTACATGGAGTTTCGTAAAGCTAGATTGTATAACGATATTTGCTCCGGAAAATAAATGATTACAGACGGACGGACGGACGGACGGACAGACTTCTGACGTGTTTTCTATACATTTAATGTAGAACACCATCATCAACATAGCCATTATAATCAACAACACCGTGAATAACGCAGACAATATGTGCAGTGAACCTCGGCATGTATTGTCGCCTGCGACAACATATAACCAGCGACATAATGCGCCGCCGACAATACATCCAGTGAACCTCGGCATGTTTTGTCGCCTGCGACAACATGTACCCGGCGACATAATGCGCCGGCGACAATATGTCCCGTGTACGGTTAAGCATATAAATGACACACATACTATGCTACTCACAGCCAGTTCTAAAGTAGATGATAACGTCATGTATCAGTGTTTTCTGTCCCAGATCCACCCTCCACCAGGCAGATGTTATACTGGCATCATTATAAGCTGACAGAATGCATTTGGTGTCATCGTTCCTTTTCGTGTCCCCGTCGACGGCATTTGATGAAGGGTAAGGGTATCCATCGGATGATGTTGTTGATTTGTTGAAGGCAATATTTTCTGTGACGTAAACAAGAATTATTCTCTTTTTTCACAAAATAACACATGGTAGTAGATATCCCGTTTAAGGAATTCCTTTCTTGTCATCATATACAGGAATAACTTTGATTTAACAATATATGTTCATGTCTTGATGCTTTATCCCTGTCCTGAAGTATGAGATGATTCAATTGGGTACATATCAGTCTTAGAACCAGTGTTGTTATTTCATATGGCATATATGTAAACTGCATATATTACATTAAATGTGCACGTTGCTACTGCAATAAGCTAACCTTTTTCACAAGTCGGACCGGACCATCCCAGGAAACAATTTGCTGACTGACAACCGAAAGTTGTGTGGCATTTGTCAGGGGGACAGTGACACTGGTAGCTGCACATGTAGCCGTATTTACCTGATGGGCAGGTAGCTGTAACAAACCAGGTATATATCTTATAGAAACAGCGACACTTGATTATACACGGGCCGTATGTATCTGACTGGCAGTTACCAGTAACAGGCTATACATACTAATGTTACAGACAGTGACGAGGCGTACTGTCGACTGTACGTAGGGCAGAGACGCATATACAGTACTATACCGCTCTACCGCTGAACCCAGCTGTACCAAGCGACCTTGACTTTGCCGAAAAAATCATCAATTATGAGTGTGACACTCCAACGGAAATAGAAGTGAATGTCTCCAACATCACCACACAGACAGTTGGCATCCCTCCTAAGGCTTTACTTTGTGAACTCCAACCTCATTAACCAAGTGGAGTTAGACAAGGAAGGACTTATCCGTGAACAGATCGCAGATGGACTTGACATAATCCTGAACTTTAAGGATATTTGTTCAAAGAGGAATGATGATCTTGGCAACTGTTCTATGGTAAAGCACAGGATAGACTTATGTGACAACACGGCATTCAAACAGCGACATCGTAGGATCCCCCATCTATGAAGAAGTTAGGACTCATCTTTTGGAACTTATTTCAGCTAGAGTCATTAGAGGGTCTCATAGCCCATGGGCCTCTAATGTTGTATCAGCAAAGTAGAAAGATGGACGTCTGGGGATGTGCATTGACTTTCGCGAGCTTAATCTCCGGACCATCAAAGATTCCTACGTGTTCCCTTGTATTGAAGAACTACTTGAATGTCTTGGCGGAAATACCCTGTTCTCTGTGTTGGATATGAAGAGTGGTTATCACCAAGTGAAAGTCGGAAAAAAACACAAGCAAAGAACAGCCTTTATAGTCGGACCACTTGGATTCTTTAAATTTAATAGAATGCCATTCAGACTTCCCAATGCTCCTGTAACATACCAGCGTCTAATGGAAAAATGCCTTGATGGACTGCACTTAAAGGTTGCAAGGATTGTGGACTCAAACTCACTCCAAAGAAGTGCAAGTTTTTTCAAGCGGAAGGTCCGATACATGGGATATATTGTTTCAGCAGATGGCATCGAAGCTGACCCAGAAAAAGTGTACAAGATTAAAGACTGGTTAAAACCATCCAATACAGAAGAAGTCCGGAAATTGGTTTTGCTGGCTATTATAGTAAAATTTGTCAAACTCCGGAACCACTATGAGAACTAATGCCAAAGTCAGCATCCAAGAAGTCCAAATCCAAGCAGCACTCAGACAGCATCGACTGGAAGTGGGGCGAAGAACAGCAAGAGGCTTTTTAGGAACTTAAGACTCGCTTGTCAACACCACCAGTGCTTGGATATGTTGATTTTTCCAAACCCTTTGAGCTCCACATTGATGTCAGTACTCGGGGATTAGGAGCAGTGCTATACCAGTAGTAAGATGGGCAATTGCCAGAGGAGTTTCTGTGTTTGAAGTGGGCAATCTCAGAGAAGTTCAATGACTACTTGTATGGACATGAGTTTGCAGTTGTCACAGATAACAATCCTCTCACGTATGTTTTAATCACTGCTCGCCTTGATGCTCCTGGTCATCGATGGTTGGCAGCACTCTCTGCGTATAATTTCAGCATTAGGTACAGACTAGGGAAGTGCAGTATTGACGCTGTCAAGGCTGCAAGACAAGTTACCATTAGAGGAATTATCCACTGACTCTGTGAATGCCATCTGTAACATCATCCAAGTTCCCAACCTAGTGGAAAGTATCGGTATGTCAACAAAAGTCATAGATGAGGATGATATCGATATCAAAGTATATATATAAAAGCGCGATATCAATGCCAAGGACTGGAGAAAATCACAGATGAGAGATCCATCTCTGGCTACCCTCATTGACCACGTGGAATGCGGCACAAGACCAAACAGGAATTAATACACTGGAGACAGTAACATGACATTTCTCATCAAGAACTTTCCACAGATGCAACTGCACAGAGGAGTTCTTCATAGAACAACCAAGACGGGTCAAGGAGAACAGGTGCAACTTGTCTTACATAGTAGATGTAGAGGTGCACTGCTGCGCAGTTTGCATGACAATGTTGGTCATTCAGGCAGAGACAGAACAGTTTCTCCCTTGAGGGGAAGATTCTACTGGCCTGGAATGACCAAATATGTTGAAGTCCATGTGAAGTCCTGTGATCGCTGCATCAAACGTAAGACAATTACATCTCGAGCACTTCCAGTGAATATTACAACATCACAGCCACTTGAACTTGTTTGCATAGACTTCCTTGGATTAGAAACATCAAATGGTGGCCAGGTGTTCTCGTGATAACCGATAACTTCACTAGGTATGCTCAAGCTTATCCTTGCAGGAACAATACTGCAAAGACAACAGCTGAGCTCTTGTTCAACAACTTTGTTGTGCATTATGGCCTCCCGAAGCGGATTCACCCTGATAAAGGAGCTAACTTTGTGTGTACCCTGATGACTGAGCATTGTACAATGTTGAAGATCTTCAAACACTCCTTACAATCCAATTGGTAACGGGATGTGTGAACGCTTTAACCGAACGTTGTGCAACATGCTAGGAACCTTGGATCCAGATAGCCAGCGAGATTGGAAGACACTTGTGCATGCTTATAACTGCACTCAGCATGAGTCTAAGAGTTTCCATTCTTCTTGATGTTTGGTCGGCACCTAAGGCTTCCTGTTGACATAACATTCGGGCTTGACATTGAGCCAAGCAAGCCAAAATCTGTCTTGAAGTATACAAACTCTTTACAGGATAGGTTAAAGCAGGCATATGATCTTGCAGCCGAGATGGCAACCAAAGCTCAGGAAAGGAAGAAGACCAAATACGACCAGAAGGCAAGAGCGGCAGTACTGGAGACTGGTGACAGAGTCCTTGTGAAGATTGTTGCCTATGATGGTCGTCACAAGCTTGCTGACAGTTTTGGTATTCGTTATAACTTCGATTTTGATGCAAAACAACAGCATTCAATGTAATTGTCACAGCTTACTTATATTCTATATTTCACGCCCTTCGCTTAAATTTAGAAAGCATATTAGTTTACTCACTACTGCGGTAATATATAAACATATTAAAAATATTTCACAAATGTATCATTGTATACCAATAAATATTAATGTATCTCGTGTTTATATGCATACGAGTGTATATGTATGTGTGCGTGTGTGGGTATGTAGGTATATGTGTTTGTGTGTAATACTGTATATATATATTATATTTTTTTATATTTTATTTTCTCATTACCCAGCTAACACGAGACGTTGTCACAACGTTGTGGAAAGGTTGTGGATTGGTAACGTTGTGATATAACGTTGTCACAACGTTATTATAACGTCAACCTGCAACGTTATTTCATAACGTTATAACAACGTTGCATATTCACGTTGTGAAAACGTTGTGCATTGGACATCACACAACGTTTTGTAACTACGTTTCTGAAACGTCGGTGAAACGTTATTGAGTTTGCTTCTCGATAGTCATAAAGGAATAGTATTGCTTTATCAAAATCAACATGAATTTGTCAGAATACCAAGGCAGTAATGAATTACCTTGCTATATATTCGGCATTTGAATTTTCATCTCTTAATACTAAAATGTCAAGAACGTAATTGTGTATCTCTATGAAAACGTTATTCCACAACGTAACAACAACGTTGTAATATAAAGTTGTGATAACGTTGTGCTTTGGACATTACAACACTTTTTGTAAATGATGTTTAGGAAACCACTTATAGATCTACCATCTCTTAGTGTTATTTTTTTAAACATATATATCTATTAACGAAGTTATCTGTCTTCTAAATGTTTGTCACAAGCAATATTACAGTTAAAAACAATTGGCGCGCATTTTTTGCGGCGTGAGAGCGACTTCTGAAAGGTTTAGCCTGTTGCCTCGTGAAGTGACGTCAGAATGACGTAACATTGTCGCGGAAGATTTGTTGTCACCAGCCATCTTAGTTCAAACTCACACTGGAGATAATATATTACAACCAAGTGATTGTGCAGCAGCTGGAACTGGGCAGATGATCTGTGAATTCGGATGAGGTAAGTTAATTTTTCAAAAGCAGTCTCCGCTTGTTGATATATTTCTGTACATGCAGATCGTCAAATGATTTTAATGTGTCGTATTATTCAGAAGTGGCAGGGTTTAGAATGCCGTTTGTCGGTCACTTTCATGGATCACTGCGCGTCAGTGTTGATATTAATATGATACACAGAACATGATGCATATAGAGGTGAAGGGGGCCCAAGACTTTTTTTCCATGTTATTATTTTATGGATACCAAGGCCAAGCAGTATATGTTTGACCAGAATTCAGTCTGGCGGAGTTTTGTGGCCGTCATATTATGTTTGGGTTTCGATCGTAAGCGTGTAGGTCTGTAAATAGGCCCACGGACCTATATATAATATACAAGTCCGTGATAGGCCTTACTTATGCATAGCCTTCTGACCACTGATAGTTATCGCCATTTCTTCCGTATTATTTCTGAAACCATTACTAATAAAGTTTACATGTACTAATCCTCTGACTTTGGTTTTTGTGAAACAATGTGGCTCATTCAGGGAATGGGAAAGGTTTAGTAGATTTCTCTTATACAGCGAAGAGAGGGAATCAAAACAATGGAAGTATTTTCAGATCGACTCTCTGTAGGCTACAAGTGATAGCCTTAGTCTTAATGCGCTCAATGATGTTATGACAAATTGTATTTTCGGGAAGAGACAGAAACATACTTGTTTTATTATTTCCAAAAACGAATCAATGCATCATTTTCCGATAACTAGATCTATGTCCGACTCCTTTCTAATGAAAACGAGCAAAAGTAAAACGAGTCTCTTGTCGCGCGCTATAACGGGGTGTTTGCGGTATTGTCCTCGCTGGTGATGATAAGCTAGTCGATAGTCAAAAGTTAAATATCACCATATATTGTCAGTGAGTTGGTCATCGTTTGTTGATTATAAAGGTGAGATAGGTGTAGCCAATGTGCACCAATGAAAAATACAATGAAATTGATAGCAACCATATTCGTTCGGTTTTCGGTTTCCATTATGTTGCCACGTAGGCTACCATACTAAAGAATTATATTTAACGATATTGAACTGTATTAGATCTATGTTGATAAACATAGTAACAAATAAATTACAATAAATATTTACAGAGCTGTTTCAACTTAGTCTGGTATTGTATAAGCTATTGCATTTTGTTAATTTCCCCATGTTTCTATCTTTGTAAATGTTGGAACATATATAACTATCCTGGCATATTAATATGGAAAATATAAGGGTAAGTATTAAAAAAAATAATCACAATTTTAATTAGGATAATACCCCAAAGTGTTAACACTTCTATCACTTATTAGTGGGTCAATTCATAATTCATATTCAACATTAATGCTTCAAATATGGGAACTATTTATTTTATTTGGCAATATATATTTTTCATTTATGTACATATTTTTCAAATAAGGTTTTAGAAACTTGGCCAACATATTCACTTGAATCACTAGTTTTTGATGTACAGCAGAAAGGTAAAGTTACTGCTTTTGAATAACTACAGTTGAACTGTTGACTGATAAAACTATTTGCCAATATTACCACCAGTTGCACCATACTCTATTAGTCTAAGTAAATTGGATTTATCTATACAGTACTGGTTTATTTAAGAATGTGATACTTTGTGGTTTCTGTTTTTCTTTCAGGACGAGAAAACAGTATTGTGGGAGCATATTTGTTTAAAGTACATCACTGACAGAAAGGTATGTATGATGCAATAATATATACAAACATCTTCAAGAATTAAAATTTAGATGATTCTTATTTAATTATACCCACAATCTAAAAGGGCGGGGGTATAAAGTTACACCAATGATTCAGTGCTAAAAGCTTTTCTGCCTATGTATGATTCAAGAGCATCATGGTATTATTGTCAGCGCCTTCTTCTCACTTACCAGTTTAAAGACTGACATCAGACATCAAAATATTATTTTGGGGAATGCAACCATTATTTTGTTATGTCAGAAATATGTCCCTTGCCTTGCCATTTTATAACATTTGTGTCATTTTTTATTCAGTTACCAAGGCATACCAAGGAGAGAATATGGATACAGTTGAAGATCATCCCTGTGACTTTTCATTTTAGGACCGAAAAGGCTCCTCAGCAACTCAGCCCAAGTTCTGACTTGTCATTTAACAAATAAATAAAGGTCACCTCAACCAGAATTCTATTGTCATTTCGTTGCTGGGAAATGGATCTTAGGACATCATATGCATAGACTATTCTGTTTGTCACAGTGTTGCTCTCAATGCTGAATACATGGGATAAGGCCAAGAAAATTTAAATGTTTCAATTTGTGCAGGGCTTATTGTTTGATGGTTTTTAATTTGCAAAATCGTGGGAAAATCAAATATCTTTTAATTCTGTTGAAACATTTTGTGAACTATTTGCAGATAGCCTTGAAAATTGTTTGGGAAAATAAATATTATATAACCAAATTGTACATGTAATTTAAAACATTTAGGTTTTTATCTTGGCCGTATTTCAAACTCTGCCAAAGGAGAGTGCATTTCATTGACTTGCTGTTTCATGGATAGGGTTAAAGTGAATTCAGCTTGCAGAATGAATTGCTTGGTACCTGATGTCTTAACTAGATTGGTACAAACTTTTGAGGCTGCCTGGGAGGTATTGAGGAATAATACAGGCGTTAGTCTATATGGACATTGCAACAACGTGCTAAAATGGCTGTAGTGTCTCCATGTGTATGCGATACCTACGTTGTCGCGACGTTTTGGTTAAACGTTGAAGCAACATAAAAAATGGACGTTGTGACAACGTCTTGATTTGGTTGTATTTTGGTTTACGCACAACGTTGCAGCAACCAATCTGGGAGTCTACAGATTTACGTTGTGACAACGTAACATCACAACGTTATAGCAACGAAAAGTCAACGTTGTCACAACGTTGTCACAACGTAGAATTGTTTGCTGGGTACTTATATATAATTCCTATGCACTGTAATTTATTTTGCACTATCATTATTCACATATGACAAAGTAATGAAGTGTATGCAGGAGAAGGCCTCGTAAGTGAGTCACTTGTGCCTGATCCATTTGATTTTCCGCAAATTAATAAGTTTTAAACAACTCAATATGTTGCTTGCCTGTACCTAAAAATATGGAAATAACAAAATATTTGCCATGATACTATGCATCTCATAATGTTTGGTATTTGCTGTTTTCTTCACCTTCAGCTTCAGGGTTGTTCAATATAATTTGCAAGGTACTTGTGGATTCTGACTTGTATGATTTGTATTTGTATTTGTATTATCAAGACCAGTAAATATCATATAACTCCCCACCGTTAACCTCCACTTCACAGAAATCCATGATGGGCATTTTATATCCACTATCGTTGTTGATGAAGTGGTGTACAGGACCAGATTAAATTATGTAACCACATTTACATACATTGGGTTCTAATGACGGCTTAAGTGTAGTGGGAAACATAACCCGTACCGTCAACCTCCACTTCACAGAAATCCAGGACGGGTACGTTGACATTGTTGATCTCGTTGTTTACAGTTGTGGTGTACAGGACCAGATAGCGCCCTTCACCAGAACATGTGACGTTCAAAACATCAGATATGTCCGTCCCGTCTCTGTTCCCTGTCACGTTGTAGCAGTTGACGCCATCAGTTGGGGAGGCGGCAGTATCAGCTATGTAGATCTGGATACCATTCCGACGAACTATATCTGTTAAACGTGAAACATCATGATTATAATTACTGTATTGTAACAGTTTCAAGTATTAGTAATTAAGTCTTCTTTACATCTGACAAGTAGTATACACCTATATTCTTTATCACAGATCGAGGTGAAAATAGCGCCAAACCGTTACCAAAGTTATAAATGTTATGGGAACATGACGACTGTATGTGCATATATCCTCGTTTATCAACGTCGAATTGTTAATTGTTCAATTGTCAGGCTGTCAGGCTGTTATTTGTCTCAAGAAGACAATTGTTAATGATCATATGAAACACATTGTATTTTTAGATCTAATTTTCAAACTAACCACGACATGATTATTGCAATCCGCCAGGGGAAAAACAAAATAATGAGTAACATTTCCTTCCATGGACGTATTAATCAATAATGTCATTTTCAGGAAATCCATATTCATCATTAAACGTATTAATCAATAATGTCATTTTCAGGAAATCCATATTCATCATTAAAAATAATTTATCTAAAATATTTACACATACATATAAATATATGTAGATGTGCTTTTCTGGATAAACCCAAACACCGTTGTGTCGAAGTTGAAGGACTTAAGACGAATCACACTAATATACTTAGAAGATTTGACCTTCCTTTTAACGCATGTATAAGAAAAGGGTTTAATTCGTAATCTCAATACCATGATTTCATTTGACCACAATTGCGCGCATACTATGACAACAAAGGACTATCATGTTTTCACACAACCCACGATGTAATTTTAGATAAAATACGCTATCAAAACCGATCTAAAAGATCATCTTCCATGCTAAATAAATACATTATATTTTCAAATCACGTCCAGGGTGAGGTGAAATGGGGTTTAATGTGTGTGTGTGTGTGTGTGTGTGTGTGTGTGTGTGTGTGTCACGGTTGTGTTCATCCTATGATATGCACTGCCACGGAGATACTTCTCTCCTTACGTAGTGTCGGAGAACTTCTCTCCTTACATAATTTTGGAGGTTCGTCTTTCCTCCTACGTACTATCGAAAGTACTTCTTTCCCCTTACGTACTTGAATTTAAGTATAATCGACCAGTTCCGCGACACTACAATATAATACATGCAACAAAAGTCACTAAGGAATGTGTCATTACCTTCTAATACATACAACAATGCATCAATACTCCGATTTACATTTTACTGATTGGAACTGTTTATACTTTAATCATATGTTATTTTGGGTTGTTGTCGTTGTTGTTTTTACAGTGGCCTGCCGTTATTACAATCAATATATGTATATAATTACATTTGAAAACAATGTTTAGCCGGGTGGGGGTGTTAACTCTGAATGAGTTAGCCACATAAGTACCACCCTCTCACAACCCCCTAGTATTCATTATATACTGAACCGCAAAAGAACCGCAATGTCAACCCAAGTAACATTGCATGAAAAGTTGTCATTTAAATATCTGGGTAATTTTAGTCAAGGTGTATAAGGACCATATGCAGGCAACGGTACCAGACCACCAACACTACAGATGACCGAGTCAAGGGTGAACACACGGCGTCAGGATCGTCAGATTGTGCGACAGCATCTTCAAGATCGCTTTGTTACTGCTGCGGAAATTGCTCGACAGACCATGGGGACACACCAGCGACACATTAGTGCGGACACTGTGCGTTCTGACACCATTCTGACACCACGTCATCGTCGGGACAACAGTGGGCAACACAGGCGAGAGCCGTAACTGTATATCAACAGCAGATGGCAGAGAGAGTCTGTCGATGCTGAAGGGAACGTTATTCGGATGCTTGTGTTGTTGAGAGAGACTCGTGGGGTGGTCCGACCATCATGGTGTGGGATGGAATTGTTCTTGCACAGAGGGTCGGTCCTGTGGTCTTCCAGAACATCGGTCCAGGGAACGGTGTCACAGCAGCTCGGTATATTGATTAAGTCTTGAGACCACACGCCATACCTCATTTGACACGTCGCCGAAACCACAAGTTTCAGCATGATAACACCCGTGCCCACATTGCAAGAGCAACAAGAGACTTCCTCCAGCAGAGTGGCATCAGGACCATGCAGTGGCCTGGCCTCAGTCCCGATTTAAATCCCACTGAGCACCTGTGGGACGAGATTCAAAGAAGGCTGAATGACGTCCGACCAAGGCCGACAACTGCAGCTGGACTGCGTCAGGCGTTCCTCAGAGTGTGGGCTCAAGTGCCCGTGGCCTTAATCAACCGCCTCATCCATTCCATGTATTGACGATGCACGGCAGTCATCAATGCCCATGGCGGACACACGAGATACCGACTTGTGATGCCTCAGAGACTAGTGTTGTGTTTAACTTTAAGAACATTTGACACTTTAATTTCAACCTTGGTCATCAGTTTTGCCAAGTTTCGTCCTTTTACTACGTCTCAAAGCATGTTTACAGTGTTTGGACAAATAAAGTTCATATATCTATCCATGGTGACGTTTCTTTTGCGGTTTTGTGTATTTTAAATAATAGATTGTTACAACAGCACGTGCTATAGAACAAGTTTCTTCGTACAGCTGCAATTTATATGGGATACCGTTCTTTTATGTGGATATTGATGGATACATTCCTCAAACAAGTTAATTGCCTAATACTACACATATAACTTTTGTCGGTTGTAATTACTATATTTGCATTTTGCTGTGGCATTGAACCGAATCATTCTAGTTCCTTAGCGTAATTAATGAGGAGTTTTTGCGATGCGCGTGAGCCGTTGGTTTCACGTGCATTTCCCTTTGATTTGACATTTGTCAATGAGTAAAATGTGTTTACATCCGACCATTTGAATTGTGAAACAGATTGACTTAACATTATGAAGAAGTTCAAAAGGGCTTAAAACACACCACAAAGTACTCCTTATGTCAGGATAAGCAGTCATTAAATGTATAAATATACATTGACTTTCCATTTTTTTAATGGTATCATTTTCAGTCAATATGTGATAAAATATAATATCGAATGGCTGGAATTCGTTATCATGACAACATGAATGGACAGTGTTTAAGGGTTTTTTTTGTAAAAAATAACTGAAATATTTAGGCGTTTTGTAAATTGCCTAAGTGAAAAATTCAGTCCATTTGCACATTGACTGTAACATAGACACGCGATGCTATACGCAAGGCTAGGTGAAATCATTAGTTTGTGTTTCAAGTCACAATAGTGTGATCGAATCGCAGAATATCTAACACGAGACTTATCACTGACTTATATTGGCCTATATCCGAAATATGTTATCAGGCACAATTACACACTTTTCTTATATACAAATGTTGGAACCAGATCAACTGCCGCCTCAGATACTTCGCTGAAGGATCATGATCGTCGACTGTACTTTATCTTGCGACAAAGAACTCTTTTTGAGTTTCGTCATAATGGGCTGACGTCATTGTGCTGTTCACATTCACCACCGACAATCTCTAAATAGTAACAGGCATCATTCCTAAATGTGATGATTAAGTACATGGAGTTTCGTAAAGCTAGATTGTATAACGATATTTGCTCCGGAAAATAAATGATTACAGACGGACGGACGGACGGACGGACAGACTTCTGACGTGTTTTCTATACATTTAATGTAGAACACCATCATCAACATAGCCATTATAATCAACAACACCGTGAATAACGCAGACAATATGTGCAGTGAACCTCGGCATGTATTGTCGCCTGCGACAACATATAACCAGCGACATAATGCGCCGCCGACAATACATCCAGTGAACCTCGGCATGTTTTGTCGCCTGCGACAACATGTACCCGGCGACATAATGCGCCGGCGACAATATGTCCCGTGTACGGTTAAGCATATAAATGACACACATACTATGCTACTCACAGCCAGTTCTAAAGTAGATGATAACGTCATGTATCAGTGTTTTCTGTCCCAGATCCACCCTCCACCAGGCAGATGTTATACTGGCATCATTATAAGCTGACAGAATGCATTTGGTGTCATCGTTCCTTTTCGTGTCCCCGTCGACGGCATTTGATGAAGGGTAAGGGTATCCATCGGATGATGTTGTTGATTTGTTGAAGGCAATATTTTCTGTGACGTAAACAAGAATTATTCTCTTTTTTCACAAAATAACACATGGTAGTAGATATCCCGTTTAAGGAATTCCTTTCTTGTCATCATATACAGGAATAACTTTGATTTAACAATATATGTTCATGTCTTGATGCTTTATCCCTGTCCTGAAGTATGAGATGATTCAATTGGGTACATATCAGTCTTAGAACCAGTGTTGTTATTTCATATATGTAAACTGCATTTATTACTTAAATGTGCACGTTGCTACTGCAATAAGCTAACCTTTTTCACAAGTCGGACCGGACCATCCCAGGAAACAATTTGCTGACTGACAACCGAAAGTTGTGTGGCATTTGTCAGGGGGACAGTGACACTGGTAGCTGCACATGTAGCCGTATGTACCTGATGGGCAGGTAGCTGTAACAAACCAGGTATATATCTTATAGAAACAGCGACACTTGATTATACACGGGCCGTATGTATCTGACTGGCAGTTACCAGTAACAGGCTATACATACTAATGTTACAGACAGTGACCAGGCGTACTGTCAACTGTACGTAGGGCAGAGACAGGCATATACAGTACTATACCAATCACATGTAGTAGAGGAAGCTGGTTAAAGATTACTCCATGAGCTGACATTGGTATCTCTTGTCAATAGTCCTTAAAATGCAAAATGTGAACTTGATCCCGGGGATACAAATGGTGGTAATAACACGAATATAAAACGACACATGTGAACACATACACAACATTCAGGGTAAATTTTATTTTTTTGTTCCCACATTTTCCTGTTCACTTACAAACATTTTAATTGTATGAACGAATTATCTGTACACAATTTGCATTAGGTAGTAAGCTTGCAAGAGCGTCCGTGAATTTTCAGGGGGTTTCATCAAACTATCCAATTTATGTCTTGGGGTGCTTATCTGACTTTGGCAAACGTTTTGTTTTATTTAACTGGGGTTGTTTTCTAATTTCACAGTGCACAAATCTTGTTTTGTTTTTTCTTTTGTGGTGGCAGATAATGTGGGATTGTTCTGGTGAGTAGGATAATTGAAACAATCCTTAAAATCTTGTTCTTTGGACACCTATTTCAAGACGAACGCCTTATCGACTTGTTGAAACGTTGAAGTTCCAGAGACAATATTATATGTAAATATTGAACGTCAACGCCAGAGGATAATTGTGTGTAAAAGTCAAAACAGAGTTAAACATTATATCAATGAGTCAGTGAAAAGCAGTGACGAAACCTGCTGTTCAAGAAAAGAGTAAGCATGTCGTGCTCTACCGCCAGCACCTACCACTCACTCAACTGACCAACGCCGCAGCCAATATTATACGTGATGTATGACTGCGGTCTGTAAGCAATCAAGTCGGGATAAGACAATCAAGGGATTTCGAATCTGGACCAGACAATCCAGTGACAGGATAGCGTGTTTACTGATTTTGTTGAAACTAAAACTTCTGCTTCTATTGTGCCTACTTCTACTGTGTACAAATACAGAGGTTCCGCTGCAAAACGAAACAATGTTTGTTTTGCCACACGTGTATGTAGTCTGTCGATTTGACGAAACTGATAAACTTCCACTGAACTTAAAACGAAACTTGTCCACAAGCAGAACCATCGAATGTTCAAGGCTGGATGAAACTAGTTCAGAGTGAGACGAAGGCGATAAGAGGCCATTCATGACCTAATTTGCCTCTTATCTACTTGCTGACTGGGGACGTGTGTGACTTCATTGTACATGTCTCTTGTGGACAACTAGTATCATTGAAGGAAATCCTATTATCATAATCAAATATTCTCGATGTAACTAAATCATACACCATTATTTTGGCTGATTAAACATGTAATCATAACTCTCCGTCAAACAGTGCGGATAGTTTTCTTTCGATAGATAGGTCACCTAGCACAGAAGTGGCTGTCGCGCAGCTATTTCATATCAGTTGAACATTGCATAAAAACACCACTTCAAACATAAGCCTGTAATGGCGGACATATTACCTGTAAACACACTAAGTTCCCAGGAGACAGGGTATTTTAGTACATATGGAACGAATGATCTGTTATTTTTGAAATATTTTCTATTTTCGCTTGACGAAACAAACGGAAAACATGAAGAAAAAATTGATTTGATGCATCAGGCATAAAAAGTATTGGCACTTAATGTTACACTTTGATGTGCCATACATTTATAATTATTGATATATTCAGTAGCTATCACACCCATGTATGATCTCATATGTACGGGGTATATAAAGACACATACAGGTTAGCCATTCAGAACAAATATCAAGTGGGTGAATATGTTCGTTTACACATAGCATTCAGCAGTCTTCTTTATATTTTCTACACGTCTGTGCCTGATTGTACATGGTCAGTCGTTTGAAAGGAATCATTAAACTTTTCACCAGACAAAGAGGGACGTTCAGACCTATTTGTGTTCCTCTTCACAAATTCACAAGAACCATTCAGCACCTACCTGCTACACCGTCCAGTACACAGACACAGATCCACAGCAGGACACCGAGTCTGTGTCCCTCCATGTTGACGAGAGGACATGCACACCAGGAAGTAAAAGGCCTAGTCCTATCTCAATGCTCGATAGTGATCATAGGTGAGGTGAAATGGGGTTTAACGTCGCGTCCAAGATTATTGCACTTATATAGCGACGTGCATGCACGTGTATGTATGTGTGTGGCTGCTTGTACTAGTCCGGACTGATGCCGATTTATTGTGCTAGCTCACTGAGATACCATGCCGTTTAACATGAATACCCCCACTCAGACACAGTATACTGACTCCGAGCCGACCAGTCCTTGTTTAAGCCCCTTAATGCTGAGCGCCAGGCAGGGTAACAACAAGTACCATTTTTTAACGTATTTTGGTATGACGCGGTCGGGGATCGAACCCCGGACCTTCCACCATTAGACCACGGAGGCGGTCGATAGTGATTATAATACCTAAGTGCATTGTTAGAGTAGAGTGCAGGGACTTAAACATATCTAAGGCAAGTCAGAGCTGACAGATATCTTATCCAATACATTATAGTTATATTTTATGTGTTTTTTAGGATGAATACTTCCCGGATCCTTGGTCAGTTGTAATAATTGTTGAAGTCCATACTTCCCATCCAACGACAGAGGTGTAGCAATTCTGAGAGCAACAAGAAAGTAACGAGGGCTTGTCAAAAAGTTCTAAGCCTGTTAGAAAAAAAATTTCAACTGTTGGCCATAACAAAGTGAACGAGTCCATGCACTACATTGCTTGAGTGGTTCATGGCAAGCGTATTTGGTTTGTTGAGGCTGTTTATATATTACTGACTGTCAGTTGAACGTGATAGGTGTTCTAATGAACACAAAAAATGGTACAGAACGAATACCGAGCGGTCATCAAGTTTTTGACTTAAGAGAAAAGTACTTCCTAAGGAATCCCTGACCGCACGTCACAAGTGCATGGGGATACGTGCCCTAGCTATTCCACTGGTAAACTTACGGCACCCATGTTTAAGGCTGGGTACACAAGCCTTGATGATGACCCCGGGTTTGGACGTGCCTCAACTTCCACCAATGAAGAATCAATCAAGAATATAAAAAGCTCATACTGTCAGATAGACGTATTGCCATTGGTGAGAACTTGAGGACGAGACAGGTCTAAGCCACGGATCCATTGAAACCATTATCAATGAACATTTAAAGATGAACAAGATATCTGCGCGTTGGGTGCTGACGTTTCTGTATTCGAATGTTAAGAGGAAAAGAACTGATACTGCCAGAGAAAATGTTGATCATTTTGAGGAGGATTTTGTCAAATTAAAAAAGGGATTAATAACGGGTGATGAAACATGGATCTAACACAATGATCGCGACTCGAGTCAAAACGTTAAGCCATGGAGTGGCACCATTCCACTTCTTCGGCATCAAAAACATTCTTCTTAAATAATAAATCTTCAATATAAGTGAAGAAAGTAATGGCCGCTGTATTCCGAGGTGCAGAGTGCGTGGTCCTTTTTGATTGATTAGAAAGTCAAAATACGATTACCGGTGCCTTCTATGCTGATTTGCTTCATCGCCTAAGAGATTATATCAAAGAAAAGCTGCGAGGAATGCTGACTGTTTGAGTTGTACCAATGCCTTTTCTCAAACCTCTCGACTTGCAAAGGCTGCTATGCGACAATGTGGGTTCGAAGAGCTTCTTCACCCTCCTTACTCGCCAGACTTGACACCAAATGATTTCCCGCTGTTTCCTAAACTGAAAGGACACCTTCGGGGAAAGCGCTATGCCGACAGAAAACGTCTTCCTGACTGTCATTGAAAAGATGCACTATCGATATGAGAAGTGTACTGAAAAGCAGGGAGATTATGTTGTAAATAAAAAAATTAAAACACTTTGTTTGTTAGGCTTAGACACATTTACCAGCAGTGAATGGGTGTCCGTAAGGATGAGATGGCTAAGAGGCAGCTTAGGGTCTATACTCACCAGGGAACTGAAAATGATTGTTGACTCCACACTGATCCATTGACAAGGGAAATAAATGTCTAAGCGGTACGAGCATGCTTTTGCATGGCGTACAGTGCCATATAAAGGGACTATTAATATGTACAGATCAAAATATATGATGCAGCAAAGAGGGTTTGGGTGATCCTGACACAATTAGGCTGGTTGGGCTCATCATCAGCTCAGCGCGCCTGTCTCATCTACACGCAGAACAGACAGCATCATTTGGGGCTTCTATCAAAATAATATAATACAAACTGTACATATACCAAAAGCACTTCGATGAAACCCACGAGCACGGGTATGGTGCTGACATCCTAGAAATATAATCGAGGTGAACCCGCATTTGGACCAACAAAGTTAAGATTCTGGCCTGCCCAAGGGACGCAACTCTGCACAGCGAATTGCGGCCTCTAACACGACTGAAGCATCAGTGGTTTAAAAATGGAATCTTGATTCAATTGCATTCCCTGAATAATTTAAGAATCCATCGCATATAATGACAGACTGACATGAAGATCTTTAACAGGTTGATCATGCATGTGTAATACATAGAGACATTTAGTCGCCTTTCATTTGACATCATTAAGTTTTAATTACGGAACCTTTTTAAATAGTTAGGGTGATATGTTCCAAGGGTGATATGTTCCAAGCCATAGAGTTCCCTTGCCTCGGGGTCATTTAGATAATATGGTGACCGGATTCCTTTGTATCATTCTCTTGGTGACGGGCCTCAGTTTAAAATATACCCGGGCACCTGGTGGCATTGTCCCTTCTCTTCATTAAGTTCTTTAAGAGTTGAGAGTGGAAAGTGTCTGACAGAAGGTTGATTACATCTGTTAGCCGCAGCATGTACTTCAATGTGTATTCACTGCTAATGATATGGTACCGTACAGTAAACTCTGGTCTTAGCAGATAATTCTTATGATATTGGAAATACCAATGACACTTATAGCAACTAAACGAAACACGACATGACCGTGCTGACTTCACAATGGGGCATGTAATGCAATGTTTATTTCCAATAGCATCACAATCCACACTTCATAACATGACATCGCATTAACTCACAACCGATACACCAAAATGCGAATTTTACAACACGTGACACCATGCACAATGACAAACAGGTATCACATCATAATGCGTAATTTAATGATGGTACGGGATGCATGTGTGCGTATGCCTGTATGCATGGTATGGAATGCATGTATGTATTTATTTATGCATGGAATGCTCGTGTGTATGCCTGGGTGCATTTATGCATGGAATGGAGTGTATGTGTGTTTGCATTTATGCATGGTATGGAATGTATTTGTGGATGCATTTATGCGTGTAAGTATATATGGATGGTATGGAATGCATGTGTGTGTGCCTGTGTGCATTTATACATGGTGTGTAATGCATGTATTTATGCATTTATGCCTAGTATGGAATGCACGTGTGTGATCCTGTGCGCAGTTATGCATCTTATGGAAAACTTGTGTGTATGCATTTATGCATGGTATGAAATGCATGTGTGTGTGCCTGTGTGCATTTATGCATGGTATGGAATGCCTGCGTGGATGTATTTATGCATTATATGAAATGCACGTGTGTGTTGCCTGTGTGCATTTATGAATGCTATGCAATGGATGTGTGTATACATTTATGCATGGTATGAAATGCATGCGTTTGTGCCTGTGTGCATTTATGTATGTGTGTTTGCTTTTATGCATGGTATAGAATGTGTGTGTGTGTGTGTGTGTGTGTGTATGCCTGTATGCATATATGCATGGTGTTACTGAACTTGTGAATTCTCCTTCTTTATTTCATTTTATCTATTTGTAGTGTAAATTGATCTTCATTCTATACTGGTATAATTCAGTCGAACAATGCAGACATTTCGCATGAGGGTTCATCCCATGACAATTACGGATAATGCCTGCATACGATCACTTGGTTATATTTGTTTGTTCCTAACAATTCCTGGCAGTGGAGCAGAACAGCATTTTGAGCAGAGGGTTATAGGCTTACGTGTTAGTTTAAGCCTCATATATCAGTGACCCTAATTTAGGTATGCCGAGTAACTGTGTAACGTACTTCCTTGTCGACACAGGTATTTAAACCCGATCAGTACATCAATGTGTGCTGTTGCCTCAACGTATTTGTAATTTTACGACTCGTAAATTACTGGCCTGAACTTAAGATTGGTATGCTTACCCGTTCATATAAATTATAAATACTTAAATCCCATCAACACATTATTGAGTACAGTAGTCAGGATCTGAGCACACCGGTAACAGACTAGTATGTCACGAACAAAGGCAAATAGGGATATGGTGGCTGTGACAGATATTGTTCTCATGCATGTCAGTGTAGTCTCACAGCTGGTGCGTTATCGCAATTCATTTCCTTATAGTCATGTGGTCATATTACACAATGGTGACCTACCCAGGGACTAAAGCCGTGTTGGTAATCTTTCGTGGACAGTGTTCATATGGGTTTAACGTGCATATCTTTCTAAAATACCGAGTGTCATGTCGAAGTATTGAAATTCATTATTCATCATTTTGTACTTGTTTGGACTGGATATAATATAAATGAGTCACACTTAGTATAAGCACGTCTACCTCTGCAGACTTACTTTTACGATTCTGCAAAGTATTCTGGCATCAACAGTATCTAAAAGTCCTCTCAGATGACTTCACTTTGTCTCGTGATGTCATGCGTAGATTGTACTTTTATGCAGGATCTGTGCCACTATTAACAGCGTAAATGGTGTATACAAATAAACCTATCTTTGAAACTAGTTAAGTGCATGGCATAAGATTACAATGTCACAATTGCACAACGCACCTGCATCCACTCACTCCCTGAAGGTAAACATATATACTAGCCTCATAAAGAAACTGTGCACGGAGAAAATATATTCTGGATCGAAATACAACACAGCAAAAACAAAATGATGCAGACGCTGTAGCAGCTGAGTGATCGGACCATAAGAAAATGTCAACGGGACCTGAACAACATCTGTTACGATGACGTCATAAGATCAGGGGGTCAAACGACAAAGTCACAAAGTCAATAACGGGTATGACCACCCTGTGCGTGAATCACAGCAGTGCATCGGCGACGCATGGAGTCCACCAAATGGGCATGGAAGGCCTGGGGAATGGCCTGCCATATCCTCCTCAAATCCTGTGCCAAGTCACGAACGTTATCTGGAGGATGTGGAAGACGACGCAGACGGCGCTCCATTTCATCCCACAAATGCTCTATTGGGGAGAGATCTGGAGAAATTGCAGGCCATGGCAGTAACATGACATTGTTATGGTGAAGGAAATCCATTGCGACCCTAGCCGTGTGAGGACGAGCGCTGTACTGTTGAAATGTCAATCCCGGGCCATGACGTTGCAGGAAAGGAATGACCACAGGCCTCAGAATCTGATCTCTGTAGCCAACACCGGTGAGATTGCCCTGAACAACCACCAAAGGGGTTCGGTGCCGTGCTGTTATCCCATCCCAAATCATCACAGAGCCACCTCCAAAACGATTCCTCTCCACAATACAGCTGCGTGCATAACGTTCTCCCAAACGCCTGTAGACACGTTGGCGCCCGTCACTGTGGGAAATGTTCAACCTCGATTCATCTGTAAAGACAACATTTCTCCACCATATTCGAGGTTGGCGAACATGATTTCGACACCATCTTAGACGGTTGACTCGACGACGGTGTGTCAGGATGGGACGTATGGCAGGGCGTCGTGGTCGAATCCCGTACTGACGTAAACCATTCCTGACAGTGTTGGGATGGATACGGCGCAGTCCAGGAATTGTCTGGGACGTCGTTACTGCCGTTTGGAACCTGTGTAACTCGACGCTCGACGCTCGACGTAATGACGCTGTCAATCTTGGCATGATTTGCTTGTGATATGCTTGTGTCTGCGCCTGAGAAGTTTTGAATTTTTGAATGACCACAGATCATGCTTTCCAAAGTGACTGCGAATTTTTAGTTGCACATGCTGTGTACAGCTGCACAGGATGCACGTGCAGTAACACATTGCACGTCCAGAGGCCCCCATCAATGACGTCATATCGCATGGCACGTGCATGAGCGTTTGAATGTCTCCAATATGTGCTGTGTTCAAACCTATCTTTCATATATGGACGGTGTGCCCTTATGTCTATATTTTCTCCGTGCACAGTTCTTTATGTGGCCAGTATAGTTTGAGTACAGTACCTGTCCCAAATTAACTTTATCATTTATACAGCGTATAAAAAATATATGACTTGATATTCACCGTGATGAAACAACACGTAGTTTTTCATTAATGTTTATCTTGCATTTTCTGTGTCCACAATTCGCATTTTTACATCTCAACGTCTTAACGTATTCTGGAGGGTATGCACGTTATCACACATCGTATTTGTATCCCTAAAAGTATATATTTACGGTGCGGAAACACACGATTTATGGAGATTAGAACTAGTACTTCCTCCATATTTATTTGATCATGATAACAAAGTTTATGTTTCCTCGAGCACCACAGGGAACAAAGATCTGAAAAGATTTCTGTCGGCAACAACAATATTTGTCGATATCGGAGATAGAGAGCCGATTGTCCTGTAGAGCAACTTTCTAGCCTAGGTCTAGACATATTCAGTATATGGCCTGTGTGACACTGCTTCATTTCACTATTCGATAGTAAACAAATGCTATTACCCCGTGAAGATCCCGCCTCGAATTGGTCTTCAGCAAACCATGCTTGTCGTGTGAGGCGACTTACGGGATAGGGTGTTCAGGCCCATTGACCTCGTTGATGCATATCATCGTATCCCAGTTGCGTAGTTTAATGCTCATGTCAACCAATGAATTGTCTGGTCCACACTTCATTATTTAAAAACGTCCGCCGTCAGTATCGTTATATCCGTCAGTATGTTCAGACTGATCTTGCCATTCATTTATTCGCGTGTCCACATTGACAGAAAGCCAATTGACTAGTCTGATGACCCGTGAAGATTCCGGGGTGGAATAGGTCTTCAGCAACCCATACATGCCGTAAAAGGCGACTATGCTTGTCGTAAAAGGCGACTAACGGGATCGGGTGGTCAGGCTCGCTGACTTGGTTGATGCATGTCGTCGATCCCAATTGCGTGGATCGATGCTCATGGTGTCAATCACTGGATTGTCTGGTCCATACTCGATTATTTTACAGACCGCCGTCATATAGCTGGAATATTTCTGAGTGCGGCGTTAAACAACAAAGAAACAAACAAAACAAACAGACTAGTCTGATCAGAATCGTATCGGTGCAAATTTTCATTTAAAACAGTTATACTAACCGGAGTCGTGGGTGTGGGTCAAGGATCGGGAGTCTTTTCACGGGGTAAGATGCACACCGAATATTGTTGCACTATGCTCCGCTTTGTTCTCTGATGTGAATCACGGTCTGTGTGATCTGTATTGAAGGCCGAGGTGAAACTATCCCCAGGACCATTACACCGTTGTCTTCATGATATGGACCATGATGACTAAATTAATACTACTTTGAGGGAGTAGGGTGTTATTGTAGTCTTGTAGTCATGCAGTCCCTCGTGTATGTAATGTCTTTCAGCGCATTCTACATTGCACGACAGATAAGATCAAAATCAAAATATTTGATCATAAAAACATGTTTCATACTTTGTATGCATCAGTTCACACTGTTTGAGTGTCCTTTAGCTGCACCAACAACATATGTCATTATACTTTGTTGTTGTGAAATTGAACTTGTCTTCTTAGGTTAGGTCCCATCAACATTACAATGGCATAATAAAAAATATATTTTATTCATTATTTGATACTTTATGCATTTAATACTACGATACAAATGAAGCTCTTTTAATACAATGTAATTTCATGTACAGATATTCGTTACCGTAATCCAATCTTTGCCCACCTCATTGTAATATAACCATGGTTTCAAAGGCCAACAATAGAACACCTGTTGTATGCCTTAAGTTCTACAAGAGGTTGACATATCAAAATAACAACAGAGTATCTTTTCACGACTGTGGTATGTCAATGTTACAATAGTAGAGTCACCATCGTGTTCATATCACTTTGTGGAACGGGTCCAGATCTTGTACGTGTATGTTTAAATTGACTGATAATCGATATGCGGATACGTATAAATATCCTTTTGGGGAAAATACACATTGTATTTAGCGATCCTTGGCTCCGGGCGTAATAGTATTTCCTCCAAAAACTGGATATTTACCATCCTAAAACACATAACCTCGATCTCTCTTCCGCATAATCGATTATCAGTAAATATAAACATGTATGTACAAGATCTGTATCCGATTTAATACAATCCAAATCTTTTCAATAAAAGCATTTTCTACGAAAAAATGGAATATCAGATGTGGTATTAAGTGCACGGTCGCTGTGACGACTGGCGACTACCAGTTATGTTCGAGTAGAGTTTCTTTCCTATTTTACAAATTGAAAACATCCATTAGTGTATGAGATTGTATAACTTCAAGTAAATATTTTCAAAATTACCACATGTGATTAACGCCACTTGACTCTTATGTTCTATGGCAGTTTTTAATTAGGCCTGCATGGTAGATGTCAGAGGTATTGTTAGTAATAGTTGGCAAAGATTTGTATATTTGCGGGACTCGGCAGTACATATATCTTAATACATATGCTTATCAAGTTTGGGAACCCAGTATAAAGCTGGAATGGATATATAATCACGGGTTAGACAAATCCCATCAGTACGTTATGTATGTACGCTGTAAGTATGAAGGTAGGTTTAAAGTAAATAATACATAGAAAAAGCAAAGATGTCTAGTTCTGGAAGCAATAGATTATTAGCGACTTGCTTGTTGCTCGCGAATGTGCGTCAAATCTAGGTCCCGATGAGGTAAATCATATAATAATGTTATGTGGTGAGATTGGCAAGTTATTGCGTGTGAACGTTTATGTGAAAAAGCAACTAAACATTATAGCATCCTTTGTAAAACTCTGATCAGCGCAAATTGAACGTCATATCCTGACCATCTAAGGCCTTCTTTTTTGTAGAGTTCAACCACAAGTGTAACATACCAATATTCTGGCATGTCATTGCAGCTGTTATGTAGCAGTGGCCCTGGACAAATAGAAATCATATCAGAACCATTATGTAACAGAACTTCCCTCAGATGAAGAATGTATGCACACTTTGATGCATGGTATATGGGCATGTCTTTATAGAAGGTATCTGGATTAAGGTATATTTTTGCTCCAATTAGTGAATAAATTAAGAAAAACATTCCGACACCTGTGCCATCAAGCATCACAAACAGTAAATACATCTACACACTGGAAAAGCCTTGTTGGTAACCTCGAGACACAATATTAGCATCACACGCAGTAAACACATCTACACAAGCGGTGAAAGCTGTGTTCGTTAGCTCCAAACATGGTATTCATAACAACATCATTTCATCAATCGAGAATTGATTCATATTTTATATTGAAATTCTGATTGAATGAATATATCCATAACGGCATTGGTTAAGAAGTAAACGTATACCAAACAAATACTATTTAAGATCAATAACTATAAAAATCAAGATGTTATTTGAGATTGATGTCCCTTGCAGCATCGATACAGCACACATGGCTGGTCGGTTATCACATGTTGGCGTAAATGTTCTGCGATTCCAGGTACGCTGTGGCAACGTCGTAACACAGGGCAATGTCATCCTGGAAGACAGAACGGAGATACATGTGTGCAGCAAGTGTTTGACTTTGTTATGAAGTTTACTAAAAGAAATATATGAGAAATGCTGGACTTCTTCATTGATAACATAAAATTATGTGAAATATGGGGCTCAATAAGTTTAACTTAAGCTTCAGATATATATTTATCCATTCCCTTCCATTTACCCACCTGAACTAGACATTAAGTCCGCGTCATCTGTTTAATATTCAGATCAATGCATAAAGACTCAAAGTCACAAAATACTCTCCACAAAACTACAAGAGGGATGACTTCAACTTTCCAACAACCACATTTTCCTTTAGGTCCATCAATATTCATGCAACTCCTGTCCTAGGTGTCTCCTTTACAATTTCTTAGGTTCAATCGAGCATGCTGTTTCTACCAAGATTTTAAAGAGAGTCGTACATCTCATGCTCAGAATATGGAAAATATTTTGCTTTTTTTTTTTTATTGTTCATTAAATGATTGGTTGGTTGGTTGGTTGATTTACGCCGCACTTAGCAATAGTCCAGCTATGTGACGACGGTCTGTAAATAATCGAGTCTGGACCAGACAATCCAGTGATTGATATAACGAACATCGATCCACGCAATTGGGATCGATGACATGCATCAACCAAGTCAGCGAGCCTGACCACCCGATCCCGTTAGTCTCCTTTTACGACAAGCATAGTCGCCTTTTACGGCAGGCATGGGTTGCTGAAGACCTATTCTACCCCAGATCTATTCATTAAATTACATACATTTATATACAAGCCACTTCCATATACATTCTTCACTCATCAGATATTAAACATTTATCCTTTATTTCAATTTGAGCAAGTTTTATGTGATATACGCAGGAGTCATGTGTGACCATAGCACCGTTTCTATTCCTGTAAGAATTGTGCTGTTGGAATTCGGCTCGAAGTGAAGCCGGGGTCATGAATTGGTTCAGAGTATTTAAGAACTAGATGAGAGATATAATACACTGGATAAAGAACGCTGTAATGATATGCAATGTAGTCAGAATCATACAATCGACTCTGCTTTTGGCAGATATTTCTTTTGCGTATGGTTTCAGATATTTTTTCCATTTTTGTCGACGAGACATTAGGGAGAGAATCTATATGCCGTCAAACTTATCATTCATCCAAAGTTTTCAGTATGTAAACAGTAATAAGTAATGTCCCGTGTGAAAAAAGTAAAGCTAACTAGCTTTAGCAGCAGAGAGATTAGTGATGTCATTTTATTGTAGTGAGTGAGTGAGTGAGTTAATGCTTTACGTCACATCGGCAATATTTCATCCATATCGTCATTTGATTGTAACGTGTTGGTACCCGATGACGTCACAAAGGTCTACAAAGCAATGTGATGCAATTTCATTGCAGGATATCTACAGTGGCCAAGGAAGAGAGATATCAAGAGGAGTTGTCACCCTGCAATATGACTGAGTACGTTTCTACTTTGTGCTGAATTCAGTTGAACACGACCTTAGAATTTGCTAACTTTTGTGGCCAGTTCTTTTGACAAATCTACCCCGGCGTGAGATAAAAGAGTAACTGCAGTGGCGCGCAAACAGTAATGTGTGCATTTGCCTCCTTGCAGACTACCTTCATGAGACCGCTGGGAAGAGCGGTGCACCAAACAGCATCAACGAACAAAAGCTTGTTTTTGGGGGCTGTTGTAAAAATGTTTTCCGGATTCATGTGTGTAAGATACAATTGGACGGATTGTAATATTAGAGGGTTTTTTATTCTCTGGTTTCATTCAATAGGTGTTTCGATATCAACGCTGTTATATCATCAAGATGTTGAAGACTGAAATATACGGGCCATTAAATGCCAAGGTAACATTTAGTTTTTAAAGCTTTACCTGTTGTAATAGTCTATGCCAAAAATGTAGAGCATATTTTGTTTAGAGGTGAAACTACAGGAAAATACGCTTATGTCTGGTAATGAAAATAAGTGATTTACGCGGCAATAACATTTCGGAAGAAATCCATCCCTCAAACACAACATTGTGACAGGCATTATGCACGTGACCTCCGACAGTACGTACGGGGTTGGCAGATTTACTCTTTGAGCAGACGCATATTGTTGTCTGGTAATAAAACGTTAGGAAGACACAATTTTAAACACATTTGAGGCGGACACATATTAATATTGTTGCCGAAACATTCTGGGTTTGATGCCAACATACATGTAACGTCAATGGTCGACGTCGCTCTGGACGCCCAGGGGCAACTCCAAATTCAGACAGGTTAGCCAAAACAAAGGCATCAAGAAATCGGTTGAAAACTGTCACTCAGATAAGGGATCGGTTGCATCAGGCAACTCGTGTAAGAGCCCCAACAGTGCACAAATAACATGTGCATACACATAACGTATCATCTCACAACTTGCTACACGTCATTTGACAGCAGTTGTGTAGGAATCATTGGCACTGGGATCATCGAAGTTGGGATAATGTCATGTTTTCTGACGAATCGAAGTTCACTCACTAACTTGCATGATCAAAGGAATCGAGTATGGAGGCGTCCAAGAATCAGAATCCATTAGATCGTATCGCTTACTCCTCAGCAGCTGTGATCATATCCTTTCTATTTCAATGCCATTTATATTTGTCTGCATGCTTCCCACTATCCCCTATTTTGGTAGCAGAATAATTAGAATTATAAGTCTATTATATACATGTAACCGCCGTGATATTGCTGGAATATTGCTTAAAGTGGCGTAAAAACATAACTCACTCACTCTCCCATATTATATATGATTTGGAATCTTAATGGACAAGAGGATGATAAAAGGTTCTTACAAACATTAACATGTACATCTTACTTTAGTGTTTAAGGATGCCAATAACCTAAAAAAGACAAAACCCATTCCGCAAGTGTAGGAAGTAACTACCAATCGTAAGTCCAATGTACGATTCTGACTGTGTCATAGCCATGTCTTTTTGTTATTGATAATGCGCAAAGGTGAGAACCTCATGACTCACAAACAATTATTTAGAGTTGGCATTAGTTCGCAGAACATGTCTTTATCTCTAATACTTACACACTGATGTTAATATACAGTTATGAATACCTTTGCTTGGATAATGGAAGAAAAGGTTCAAGTTGGTATTACCTGCGTGATGTCCTGGTCCAGACAGTGGGTCATGGTTCTCATGTTGTTGTAGATCTCAGCTCGTTTGTCATGCTTCAAACCTTGGACAATATTGCTCAGGATGCATAACATGGCTCCATTCTGTCGGCCGCCATCGCTGTGACAAAACAATGCGAATGCATATGAAATGTTAGATGGCGTCATATACCACACCGACTTTTGAGGTGACACACTGTAACCACTCCATGTTTATTTTAGTCCCTGTTTTCGCTTCTGGTGACTTATTCCAAATTCTTATTTTGACGCATCTGTGATACAAATATGTCCCATGCTATTCGTTATTTTGATTTGTAACATATGTACTCTTTTTTCAGGTAAACAATTGACTTGCCTTTGCGAGTGTTTGTGACGGGTTATGACAGTTATGCTTCTGGATTCTGGATTCCATGCTAGGCCCGATTTCTTGCTTCATGTACAGTTGTACGTCCCTTACCTGTATATGACAGTAACCGTGTGGGGGTTGACCTCCCCTGTGTGGCGGTCGACTTGTTCCAGAAGCTCCAACAAAGTGGAGGGGGATTCCGCGGGAAGGATGTTCAAGACATACACATGCACAAGTGCTGTTGGGGAATTCTGTTAAGCAAACGAATATCGAAACGTTATAGTTTGAATAATCTCTACTTGTCATTAGGTATGCGTGTGCTTCGTCAAAGAAAATCGCCATCGACTTCCTTTGAAGTAAAACAACGAAGGATGTTCAGCTCACCTGCAAACGATTTACTGACTTTGACTCATGACTTGACTACTCGGACCACTCGATGAGATAAACACACACACACACACACACACACACACACACACACACACACACACACACACACACACACACACATACACACACACCACAGCGCTACAGCTTTCGTAAGAAAATGTTAAGGTAAGAGAATTACGATGACCTCAACACTAAGATCGCTTTGAACAGCACCAATAAAGTCACCGGTGCCGACCAAAATATTTTTGTGAGATATGAATTTCAAACAAGTATTTTCAGACAAACGTGGTATTTCATCATTAATTCACGCTACCATTGCGAGCCGAATGACCTAATCATTGTGTGTTTTCCAGCTGATCTGAGCCAGGGTAATAAGTGTGATGTTAATAAGAGTTCATCAGTGAATTGTGAACCTACCTCCATCTGTCTGTGGATGTTCAAGAGGGTGATGTCTGTGTTGACGGTGGTCTCTCTGGAGCATCTGACATTAACAGGACCAAGATCAAGGCTGTCTCCTGTCGATGGCACAAAACTGGACAGACTCTGACAAAAATGAGTTAAGTTTGAAAATCTAGTAACGATGGAATTGGAATATGTACACAAATGGGTGTCACTATTGGATTAACATGACCCACCTGGTGTGAGTCTGGCAGGACAATGACAGTGGAAGACTCCTGTTCCTCGGTGAGTTTCCAGAACAGAGACGCCGTGGTGACGGAAGGGGCCTCAGTTAGCAGGTAGCCTTTTACTGACAGGTGAGACTAAAAGGGGGATAATGACAATACATGCACCATTTTATTTCGAATCATTAAGGATAAGTTGACTGACATGCTACATAATTGAAGAATCATTCAAGGCTTGTGAATAGGAACTTGAACTTTAAACTTATGTCTGAGCTCCTGTCACATTTTTCTTGTCACCTAGTTTAAAAAAACAACTCGTTGTAAAATACACTGTCGTTTACATGTACTTTCTAAAATACTCTTTTAACAGATAAGATCTAGTACAAACACCACTGCCGTGTACAGGTTTTTTCTTGGTGCCTCATTTACCTAGCATAATCCGTTTCAAACAACACAGTCGTTTATATGTGTTTTCTTGGGGCCTCATTCAGCTAATAGAATCAGGTTCAAACAACATTGTCGTTTGTAGGTATTTTATTGATTCGTCATTAAACAAATACAATTATTTTACCCGTGAGCTGACAGCTAGGATGTCTGAGCATCCATTTATCCACACACGACCTCTGACGCTGGGTTCTGAAAATTTCATAATAAATCTTTCTTTGCCTGATATTGGAAAAAGTTCAATGAACATATTAAATAAATTAAATATAGATAAAAATGACATGCTTGTTTTAACACTTGACATAAGACGAGAAAGTTTTTTACTAGATATTTACTGAGTGTATTAACTCTCCTGGTGTGAACTTAACATATGTAACTGATGATATAACTGATCCGTGCCAACACCATCTGATGAAATTCATCCGTCAGACCGTCTATACTCACCCTGAGACTGCTCCTTCCTTTCTGTGTTCAGGGTCTACAACATTTCGAACATTTGTTTGAGCTTTTGTTGTGGTAATGTAGGCGTTATTAAGTCCAGAATTCATTATTACGTTACTTTGTGCAAATGATGTCAAATAGAACTGATCAAAGTTGATTTTCAACAAAGCACCTACCTCTATTAACTTGGAGACTGCCATTCGCCCCATGCTGAATGCTCCTCTCATATTCCGTCTGTATCTGAAGTCCTCAACGCTGATGGCAGTATTACCAAATTCGAGTGTTTCGTACAGGGCCATATAAACACATGTGTACTGCTCCTAATGCAATGCAATAAAACATTCAATAATAAATGAAATTAAGCGGACAAGAATGAAGCAATTGTGGAGACATTTCCAAAGTTAATAAAACATTCTTTATTACTTTGAGGATACGCGTATTACAGATTCAGTGTGTTTTCACGTTCACCTTGTCTCATCACTACTAATTATCCATATAATGCGGGGTGATACAGCGTTCAGCTAGTCTGTCTGTCCGTCGGTCTGTCCGTTTGTCTGTCCATAATCATTATCTTTTCAGGTGCAGAACTCGAAAACCAATCAGTGTATTTAATCGAAACGTGGAAAATCTACCAGTGACATACTGAAGTGGTGCCTTTTGATATTTTGGAATTTTTCGGATTTTTATTTTATAAACAAATTTGGGAAAGAAGTTGGACATAGACTGCATTGGGAATAATTTGCTCTTTCGAATCTGTAGGGGCCGGGGGGATTTGTCATTTTCTGATGACTCTTGTATTATGTCTTTTGTGTCCTGTAGCATATGTTTCGACAGATATTCAAGAATTCCAATGACCCGATAATAATAAATTATACTCTCAGTGACACTGATGTCACCATTTAACACAAGCATGGTTGCGTTGGGTAAAATTCGACTATTATATTTCATATTTAAATGGTTACAATGTAACGCAAATAGTAAAAGGTCAGTAATTGACATATATAAGATTCATGACTAGTACCAAAAATACCCGTCATTGCAAAGCGTTATATATGGTGACAGTGTCCCACCTTGGTCTGTATCATGCCCTTCCTCTGGTCTCTCATCCTCGAGACACAACCAAACACATCCACCCTATCTTCAGCCAGTGCCTGGTCCAGAAGGTAGTCCACGGCGATGTACGTCCCTGTCCGGCCGACCCCAGCACTAAGGAATGAATCAATATAGTGTGTATCTACTCGCATACAACTTAATACAGTATCCATGAAATCAGTTGAAATATGAAACTTATTATAATGTCATTGTATTAAAGAGCAACAGCATGAGTACTGTCTGTCAATGGCATTAAACCTGTTTACGAAAATACCTGATTTAGTGTAATGTAATTTGATCTTTTACCAGTGTTATGTTTTCCAATCAGATTTTGACAGCACTTACCACTGTAAGGAACATTGTTTTCGATATAGCCAGAGCCAATTTCTTTACCTGCAGTGTACCAGCAGAGCTTCATGCTGTATGGTTGGTGCCGTCCTGACCAGCCACAGAAACTCAGTCAAGGCCGTCTCCTCAGGAGTTCCATGATCGGGCCATGTTGTGAAGTGGAAATGGTCGAAACATCGACTTGTGTTGGTCTGAAATTGTAAAACTGTGTAAAACTGAGCTTTGTGCTATATCAAGGCAATGGTTCCAGGACTTACTATGATGCCGAGGTTAGTGAGGTTACTTATTCGAATACATTGATGTTTGCAGCTAAATCCGTTTGTAATTACTGTCTGAATCTTTGTCAGAAAAATGGTTGGCTTACCTTTGTCTCTGTCACCTGTAGTTCCCTGACGACCCAGTTAGCCCGCCTTTTGGAGTCGGTCACAGATATGATGAAGTCTCCCACACGCATGTCTGATGTATCTGACCAATATGCTTCGCACTTCACCTACGATTAGAAAAACTATTCTCATTCTATGGTCTTTAATTAATATTATCATTGACTGGTTCGTATTTCAGTTTTGAAAACCCAAAGCATTTGCTGAAATGTTTGCAACTGGTCATGAGCGGAAACTAACTTGCAAGCCATAGGTTGCTGCAACACGTGGTAACAAATGGTAATTATAACATATGTGTCAAATACACTAGCTGAAAGATCATTTGGATGAACGCTCTGTCACAATGAATTATGCTTGTTAGCAGAGGTTACAGAATCATGACATGATAATGCTTGAAAGTCAACACCAAGATGTTCTTGTCAATATAATGACATTATGTTTGACTTATCATCAACCCTTCAATGATAAATAGTTTTGTCTGGAACGTACCCTTCCCAGCTCCTTGAGATTTGTCAGCATGACGATTTGTGTACAGTTCTGTTCCCAGATCATCTTCCAGAAGTCAGTCAGGGTCTTCTTGTTTGGAGCTGTAAATGACAGATATTTAAGATTTTGTGGTTGTGGGGGAGTTAACCCTAGGAATCAAATTACTAGCCACACTGATGCCGAATGAGGGCTTTGAATTAAGACAATTTCACATATTCATATCGAATAAAACAGATTCATCCGTCTTCAATGTGTCAGCTTAACATATGTGTTCCACTTGTTCGTATACGTATCTCTGGCATGGTTCATGTAGAGCTGTAAACATGCAACACTGTAGCCTCTCAGCCTACCACTTTGTGATTAGGTGATTCATTATTACCAAAAGGATAGATAGAGTGTAAGCACCAGGATAGACCACTACTAGGGTGTAAGTACCAAGATAGACCACTACTCGTTTGTAAGTATCAGGATAGACCACTACGCGTGTGTTAGTACCAGGATACACCAGTACGTGTGTGTAAGTATCAGGATAGACCACGTCACGTGTGTAAGTACCAGGATAGACCACTACTTGTGTGTAAGTACCAGGATAGGCCACTACTCGTTTGTAAGTACCAGGAGAGACCACTACTTGTGTGTAAGTACCAGGATAGACCACTACTCATTTGTAAGTACCAGGAGAGACCACTACTCGTGTGTAAGTACCAGGATAGACCACTACACGTGTGTTAGTACCAGGATAGGCCACTACGTGTGTTAGTACCAGGATAGACCATTACGTGTGTGTAAGTATCAGGATAGACCACTACTCGTTTGTAAGTACCAGAATAGACCACTTCTCGTGTGTTAGCACGAGGATAGACCACTACGTGTGTGTTAGTACCAGGATAGACCACTACTCGTGTGTTAGCACCAGGATAGACCACTCCTCATGTGTTAGTACCAGGATAGACCACTACTCATGTGTTAGTATCAGGATAGACCACTACTCGTTTGTAAGTACAAAGGTAGACCACTACTCGTTTATAAGTACCAGGATAGACCACTACTCGTGTGTTAGCACCAGGATAGACCACTACGTGTGTGTTAGTACCAGGATAGATCACTACTCGTGTGTTAGTATCAGGATAGACCACTACATATGTGTTAGTACCAGGATAGACCACTTCTCGTTTGTAAGTACCAGGATAGACCACTACTCGTGTGTTAGCACCAGGATAGACGACTACTCGTGTGTTAGTACCAGGATAGACCACGACTCGTGTGTTAGTACCAGGATAGACCCCTACACGTGTGTTAGTACCAGGATAGACGTTTACACGCATGTTAGTTCTAGGATAGACCATAACACGTGTGTTCGTACCAGGATAGATCATAACACGTGTGTTCGAACCAGGATACATCATTACACGTGTGTAAGTACCAGGATAGACCCTTTCACGAGTAGTAGTATCAGGATAGACCATCACATGTGTGTAAATACTACGATAGACCACTCCTCATGTGTTAGTACCAGGATACCCCACTACTTTTGTGTAAGTATCAGGATAGACCACTACTCTTGTGTCAGTACCAGGATAGACCACTACTCGTTTGTAAGTATCAGGATAGACCACTACTCGTGTGTAAGTACCAAGATAGACCACTACTCGTTTGTAAGTACCAGGATAGACCACTACTCGTGTGTAAGTACAAGGATAGACCACTGCTCGTGTGTTAGTATCAGGATAGACCACTACTCGTTTGTAAGTACCAGGATAGACCACTGCTCGTGTGTTAGTACCAGGATAGGCCACTACTCGTGTGTTAGTACCAGGATAGACTATTACTCTTGTCTTAATTCTAGGATAGACCATAACACGTGTGTTTGTACCAGGATAGACCATAACACGTGTGTTCGTACCAGGATAGACCATAACACGTGTGTTCTTACCAGGATAGATGATTACACTTGTGTAAATACCAGGATAGACCCTTTCACGAGTAGTAGTATCAGGATAGACCATCACATGTTTGTAAGTACCAGGATTGACCACTACACGTGTGTTAGTACCAGGATAGACCTCTTCACGAGTGGTAGTACTAGGATAGATCATTACATGTGTGTAAATACTACGATAGACCACTCCTCATGTGTAAGTACCAGCATAGACCACTACTTGTGTGTAAGCACCAGGATAGACCACTACTTGTGTGTAAGCACCAGGATAGACCATTACTCGTGTGTAAGATCCCGGATAGACCACTACTCATGTGTTAGTACCAGGATAGACCACTACTTGTGTGTAAGTATCAGGATAGACCACTACTCGTGTGTAAGATCCCGGATAGACCACTACTCATGTGGTAGTATCAGGATAGACCACTACTCGTGTGTAAGTACCAGGATAGACACAACTCGTTTGTAAGTACCAGGATAGACCATTACACGTGTGTTAGTACCAGGATAGACCACTACACGATTATAAATATAAATAACCGTACCTTGTGCTGCTATGTAGGCTTTTGGTTGAGAATGTCCCTATTAAAAAAAGAATGAAAAGATTTTTTTTAATGTTTAAAACATAGTCGCATTTTACGGCAAACATGTGTGCGTGAAAACCTATTCTACTACGGATGTTCACAGGTCTTTTAACAGATACATACATGTATATGTGGTACTGACACTATTGTAAGAATTTTGACAAATAATGAAAATTTTAAAAATCCAATTATCAACGAGGAAACATGATATCCTACTGACATCGATGTAGCTGGCATTGATGTAGTCGGAACCAGGCTGGTCTGGCACCTCCTTCAACACGACCCGAGTGGCATCATCTGTAATGTAGGAGATTTTATAATGGGAATAAAGGTTCTGCACGTCATACTACTTCCAAAATGTACCTAGTTGAGCGTACTACATGTTTCTGGTATGGCATCATAGGGGGATTTATTTTGGAGAGCTAAACACACAACACTGTTGCTTGCATGAAATACAAAACTGAATTTAAAATGTACATATGAACACGTGTATGAGAATGCGTTCAGACAGGCTGGTCCATGAATTTAGAGTCAAATGAACTGATATTTAAATAACACAGTGGGATGATAGTCAAGAGAACGTTTACTCTGGGTATCCCAAATTGTATATAAGTCATGTTGTAATGAAGAACAATGAAATGTAAACCTCATCATCTTAGTTGTATTCATATCCAAAACTACGTCAACGCCGGAGAATACAAGTAGCGATAAGTAGAAGAGGCAAAAAACATTCTTTGAGAACGTTCGAAATTCAGTATACTTTTCGAAATCAACATTTGATATTTATAATATGAAATGTAATTGTAACTATTTGATAAGTATTCATACACACACATACTGATGATATAGTCATGATCATACAATCGACTCTGCTTTTATCAGCTATTTTTTTAAAGAGACGGAAAAGGTTCAGTTGATTTTATAACACAGTCAAAGCCATACATCTAATGCATACAACATACACATACAAATATGGATCTTTGTTGATTCGATGCATATGCTCATATTGAGAAAGATGTAATTTTACACATAACGCACACTATCATGAGTGCTATTATCAAATGAAAAGCCCAATATTACGATGTCACCTCAAGTTATTCTTCACACGCTGAGACACTCACATGGGTAATAACTTATGTATTTGTTCTTGCCCTTGTTTTCCTCCAGCTGGGAGTTTTTGTAAGGTCGGGTGAAGGTGGTGGACAGCTTCTGCGAAAAATGAAGGAACATTTGGTTATTACATCAAATCCCCTTGAAATTGATACAGGATGGTTGATAAGCCATATGTATGTGTGTACAAATGGCCCGTACCACATGGTAGAAGACAGCATACAGTTGATCAAACTACTAACAATAAACAGAATGCGATCGTCATGCAAATACATTTCATTGTGTTAGATGACAACTGAATGTCATTTCTGCAAAATGTGCTTCATATCTTTGTTTTGAGATATGAGGGCTGATCAGAAGGATATAAGCCTAACAAGGAAAATCAACAATTGTGAAAGTGTTTGTTTTTATATTTCTGAGATAACACTGCTTTTCAATACACTTCTCTTATCGAGAGTGCAGCATTTCAATTCCAGTCAGAAAGAAGTTTTCTGAAGCAACCCTGAAAAACCTATTCAGACATTTTTTCACGAAGGTGTTCTTTCTGTTTAGGAAACAGATGGAAATCACTTGGTGCGAGGTCTGGCGGGTATGGAGGGTGAGGAAGCTCCTCGAACCCATATTGTTGCACATCAATCGAGAGGTGTGAGAAGAGGTATTGTCATGAAGTGGTATAACTCCAGCAGTCCACATTCCTCGCCTCTTTTCTTTGATAGAATCTCTCAGGCAATGAAATAAATCAGTACAGGAGGTACTGGTTATTGACTTTCTAAGTAATCAACAAGGATCACACCCTTTATATCCCAAAATACAGTGGCCATGTTCACTCATCTTGAATATCTTAGCTTAAGATAAATGAAATGGTGCCATTCCATGGATTTACGTTTTGACGCGGGATTAAAGTGATTGACCCATGTTTCATCATCCGTTACTAATCTCTTTTTGATTTTGACGAAATGCTCCTCAATTAGCTCTAATTTATTTCTGGCAGTGTCAGTTCTTTTTTCCTTTAGATGAAAATTTAGAAACTTCATTTAATGTTCATGAATAATAGTTTCAATGGGCCCATGACTTATACTGTGTCTTCAGTTCAGTAATGATAATACGTCTATCTGACAGTATAAGTTTTGCTATCTCTTTGGTTGAATCTTCATTGATGGAAGTTGCGGGACGTCTGGACCTAGGGTCATCAACAGCCGTGCACATAGCTACCCAACGTTTAACAGTGGAAAAGCTAGTACACTTATCCCCATAAACTTGTGACATGGGGTCATGCATTTCTTGGGGAATACTTTTTCTCTAAAGTAAAACAAAGTGATTCTTGCTCGGTACTCTTTCTTTTCCATTGCTGTGTCCATATGGACCCCTATCATGTTCAACTGGCTGTCACTAATACACAAACGGCCTCACATTGTTCACTTTCTTATGGCCCATAGTTGAAAGTTGGTCAGGCTTAGAACTTTTCGACCAGCAATCGTATTTTATCATTGTTCAAGAAATTGATGTACACATTCTTTAATGTATATACGTGTCGGTTTTATACATTAGTATTGATCCAGCTGACCTGAAACTCTGCCTGGAATCGTCCGACGGGCACCTGCAGTTCCTTGATCCGCTCCCCCAGCTGATCTACAGACACCACCGTCACTGCAGGAGCACTCGCTATGTTGTAGTACGTGGCACTGTGGTCCTCCATATTCTGGTCCTCCTCTACACCGTCCTCGTCCTCCTCCACTACACCTTTATGCGCTGAGTTTTCAAGTCCTTTGTCAGATATGTGGCCTATCATGTGACAAACAGATCCATGTAGGTAACTTTGCATGAATATACAGTATATATTGACACTTGCAGATCTATGCAGGTATGAAAGAATGTCTTGTATGTCTTTGAGACCTGGTCTGGAAACTGGTACATGATAAGTTTATCATTTCTAAATGATCCCATTTTCATTATATGAAATTCAACAATTCTTCAGGCCAACTGTTGTCACCAACCTTTGTGTATTTCGAACATGTCTGTATGATCATCAGACCGCTTCGGATGACTCTTCCGCCTTCTGATAAAAACAAAACAAAATTGCTATATTTTTTACATAGTAATTTTCTAAAAATGTAGTTTTATGAAACCTGATCTTTATTTGTTGTGTATGCTAAACATTGTTATATAATTTGAAATGGTAATTCACCCTTTATATTATAGCTGAAAAAGGTAGACAGTATAACAGGTTTTTAATTGCAGGATTATGGGCTGGATCTTCTGTTCAGAACATTTATTTATGCTGTCGCGGTCTTTATAATACTCCATCGAAAGTTGTTCCTATAGATAATTAATTGGAAATAATTTCACATTCACGAACTACTAGTAATCCAGGAATAATCGTGATTATGATAGTATCTGGCTTGTTCTTTACTGTTTGTGAACAGTGATCAGTGATCAGTGAACGTCTACAACCTTTGCAACATTGGGTTTCCTCACATTCAGCTTGGTTTCGCAGAGTATGCAGTTTTGAACAAAACAATGTAGTTCTCTTTGGTCTATAAATTTCAAATTTGAGTGGGTCACTGAAGTGGGCTTTTTGCCAACTGTCATCCATCGGATCACCGAATGTCAGATAACAATGAGTAATACAACCATGGGCAACCAAACCTTGCAGTATCGTCTCGGAGTCTCTACTCTGAATTGTGCAGTTGCTTCGTATTCCTCAGTAAGCATGACCTATGTCATATCCAGCCCTAGATAATGCCTGGGTTCCTTCATCCTTGTCTCGCTAAACATTCACTACGATTTACAATTGGTAATTGCCATACGCTTTTACTATAATTAAACACACATTACCTAAAGACAACCACAACCACAACAATGATGGCCAATACAGCGAGGACAGCAAGAATGGCACCCGCGATGGCACCGGCATTACTCGGCACAGGCATGCTGATAGCTGGAACAGAGAAATATAAATATGTCATATAAACAAAGACACTGTGCCGAAAGTAAGTATGTGCGACTTCATTGCTATTATTCATTTTATCTTCCAGGAACATTGCAACTGACAAAACGCATGCTCTCTTTCACAGCAGTTCCTTTTGGTTCATCGATGAAGTATATATGATTTTATGAACACCATACCAGCTGCACACGGTCATGATGTCATTATTGAAAAAAATCTATATGTATATATAAAAGCGGCAACATTCATACACGGGCGGCACAGTCGCCTATGGAGCTGCATATCTTTGTGCACAGTTGCGTCCATCGCTCGATTAGCACCATACCCATGCTTATGAAATGGTAGACGGCTGAGACCTGCCTTACTTCTGGGGTTGTTCGTGCAAATTAAGCTGACACGCCTGGAGTACTGTTTAAAGGAGCGTTAGACCGACCTCTGTCACGCATACACTCACTCATAACTTACGGTATAAGCTACATTAGCATCTTTGAATAATTTGATGTAGAATATGTAGATATTACGACAATTCTAGTAAATTGACCTTATGGGTGCAGGAAAGCAATTGTGCTGTGACGCTGTATCGGCGTTTGACGTCGGCTTACTTCCCTTTCCTCCCACAGTATTCTGACACGCCATGATATGACTTGATTAATGTTACAAGCACTGTTAAAGTCAACTCACACAATAATCACAAGAAATACATTCCAAGAGCAGTATCTATTTTACGATTACAAATTTAGCATAAGCATATGATTATGAATCACTATAAAACAGTGATCATGGCATGCTCTGGCGAAAAAGTGAGCGTATCCTGCCCATGGGCGGCACTCATCCAAAACACATGCAAGGAAAGTCAATAAGCCATATAATCCACTGATAAAGCTTTGTTTATGAGTTCCTGACAATAGCGGATAAGTATGACATTGTGTTGAACCGTTGCAATTAAGTTATTGTAATAGGATTACTCCCAAAACTCCATTCTATACACATACCAGGATTGGCATTGTATTAATATTGTAGAAGTTACACTTTCCTTGGAAACAGATGATTGGGAAATAACAGTTCTATATTCTGAATTCACAATTTGGTTCGTTTTCCGAATTTTTGGAGTTAATGTAAATACCGAGGATGAACTTTCTGTTGCAACCTGAAATTACGACCAGAAATAAGATTGAAATGTTAAATCATGTTCTCTATTAAGAAAATATCCCTTTGAGAAAGAAGAGATGCTTACGTGAAATTGAACAGATGCAACAGTGTACCCACACGTAAATGTATTAACGTGTGAAACGAATATACTTGATGTATTAATGTGTGTTACTTTGTGTGCAGGTGTGTTCAGTCCATCCGTCAATGCATCCACTCGGGCAGGCACCGTTGACATGGTGACAGTTCTTGGAGTCACGACACTGTCCACATTTTCCAGTACAGTTGGCACCATATGTACCAGAACTACACACTGAAACACATACACATTGGGTCTTCGTGTTAGGGTATCCTGCTTCAGTTGCTGGATGTATTGTGCTCAGAGTAGAATTGCATACATGCTGCATTTGTACTTGATGTCTTACAAACATCACAGTATAGAGAGGTTATCATGCGAGTGTGCTTGGGGATGGTAAATATCCTGCATTAGGAATAAACATTGTATTTAGCGAGCCTTGGCGAGCTAAATATATAGTGTTTATTCCTAATACATGACCTTTTTCCCTACATGACCTTTGATATTTGCATCTCTATCCGCATATGACCCCAATGGATATCGTTTTTATCCGTTGGCTTTATCCTGCCGAGAAACCCACCCATTATATGATAAAACATATTATCTGTAAAACATAAACCACTTTCTCTCAAAAGTAATACCTGCATATGTCTATCCCGTGATTCCCCCGATTAACCGAATACAGGGGTCATAAACATAAACCAGAAATAACAAGGAATGATTTTTTTTCTGCAGGAAACAATATTGGTTATAAAAGTAAGAGGCATATTGTGATGTAGAGATAAACATGTCATACTGACAAGTAACCAATCTGACCTTATAACCTAATCCAACTGTTACAAAACATACACATGCACAAAGGTTAAGCGCCACACACCATATTTGTGAGCTGTTACTTTTGACACTTAATGATGACTATTGTAACGAATTTTACGATTGTTATAAGCCGTATGTGTAAACTTCATGTGATACAAAAGTTGTCCCAAAGCAAGTCTATCTTGTGTTCCAAAATAATATGAGCAGAAAGGAATTTTTACCAAAGACCAGAAATTGAAGGATTAGAAAACATTGAAAAACTTTTTTTGTCCTGTAACTGTCATGATATCAGCAGACCATATCAGGTGTCACATAGACACCCTTGGGAGTGCAGAGTCTATTTCAAGACAGAAACGCCAGTAACGTGTGTATGATCCACGGACATTGACCACAGCTTCAACCCTACGCCTCATTACAAGTCGTTGAATGCTTCTCTGAGGCAAACGGGTCCATTCTTCATGAAGTGCGGCTTCAAGTCCAGCGAGATTTTGAACTGGGGGATCACCATGTGTGATTTTCCGGACAAGAATGTCCCAGAGATGCTCAATCGGATTAAGATCCGGACTACATGTCGGCCAAGGAAGAGCTGCGATAGCTTCTTGATGCAAATAAGCCAAAACTGCCCGAGATCTGTGGGGTCTAGCATTGTCGTCCATGTAAACAGGTCTTGTTTGAAGAGGATGGCTGTCAAAATGAGGGACTACCACTGGACGAAGAATGGCATCTTGGTATTGTTGGCCATTCAGGTTTCCACGAATTGTCACCAGCGGAAGTTTGCAGCCGAAGGTAACACAACCCCATATCATGACAGACACCTCCACATAATAATATAATTTCATATCAGTTCTCAATTGATTCCGTAGTAGGAGATAACAGGACTATACACGAATTTGATTGAATATACACTCTGAAATGAAAAGTATCAGTATTCTTCATTAATTTAATACAAAAATAATGACTAGTGGATCCCATGTGCATGAAATCTCTGTATTGAGAACCAACTGCAATGTGTCCTTTTTTAGGTTAATAAAATGTTTGCCGTGGGAATCACCTGTTACTCAGGTGGATTTCGGTTAACAAAGAACAATCAGGTGTGCAGTGGGCCTCCATGCTTCTATGTACATATTCAAAATGGTATCTGTAGTAATTCTAAAGACAAACATTTAGGTGGAGTAATATACTTTTTCATGCCTCTTACATGCAGAGCAGATCCCCCCCCCCCCCCCCCCCCCCCCTTCCACCCTTCCCGACATCCGTCTGTACACTCTCCTGTTTCCCAGGTACAGGTTTTCGTCACTCCCTGGCACATCCTGGCACTGCAGAGCTTCAACAACCCATGCTTGCCGTAAAAGACGACTGTAGTTCATATGTGTATATATTTGTTTCTGTCGAAGAAATTACTGAACATGTGCCTCTTATCGGAATCGTGTACGCGTAAAGTCGAGGTGGTTGCTTTTACGTCATTCCGAGAATGACCACGTGGAAAATGTATTAACATAAAAATTGTGTTCACCAACGTCAGTTAGGTGGTCAAGTGACCGGAAAAGCTGCACATCGTACAATCGTCACAGTTTCCGGGTTTAATCAGAAGATATCAGTAATTCTAAAAACATGCATTATGTTTATAATTATTCATTTCACATGCGATTTACCTGTAATGCAGTCTCCTCCCTTCCACCCTGATTGGCATCCTGACTCACACCGGCCTGTATCCCAGGGACAGGTGGCGATTTCTCCCCCACACATCCGGGCACTGCAGTTACCAACACAGTTAGCTCCATATTCCAGCCCTTGGACACATGCTGTCGCTGAAAAAAAATAAAAGAAATCCACCGATGTAATGGAGCCATGTTCTAAACCAACATCCAGGCCGACGCAAAAACGAAAGTGAATCACCTTTTCGACTTTGGGAAAGCACATGTTGATCATAACAAAACAAAGAACATGAAGCAGATGATTCGGGATTCCACATCCGACAAGTAGAATCTCTGCATTGCAAAATTAAATGGTGGCACCTCAGAAAAAATGCCAGCTATGCCCTGAACAACATTATAAAAAAGGTAACGTGATCCTAACCGACTGAAACCATTGTGGTAGGAAAACGCAGAAGTGTTGAATATAACCTAATTCGTTTGTGTTGGCTCTTGTCACAAAATAATCAAGACATGTGTCATGTGTTTCAGGAAAGATATGCCATAATATTTGTGATGTTTTATTATACTTACAGCTCAATATATATCGTATACAATCGTCCAATAAAGAAGCATCGTCTTCATGGACGTGTTTTTAACATACTGACTTTTACCAGCCCATTTTTGTAAATACATACTCACACATGCATGACATAGAATATGGACTATCTAATGTTTCTTACTTTGAGTGCAATCTTCTCTCTTCCACCCTGGCTGACATCCTGACACACATTGGCCTGTGTCTCGGGGACAGGTGTCATTTCCTCCCTTACACATCCGGGCACTACAGTTACCCTCACATACTGCCCCATATTCTACTCCTTGGACACAGGCTGTAGATGGAAAAAAGAATATTATGACAGGCTCTGGTGCCTGACCCTCCTTCACACATCCGGGCACTGAAGTTACCCAAACAACCAGCTCCACCCCCCACCTATGTTATACATGCTGCCAATGAAAAAAATACAAGCTGTGTACAGAAACGAACTAAGAGCTGACAGACATTAGTTATTCCAGAAATTCACTTCGTATATTGTTAAAAAATGTTCCACCATCAATCAGTAAGCCAAGTCAAAGATGAGCAAAATGTTCATGTTTGTCGACAATCTTTTTTTATTAAATTTACATTATGATTTTATGCCCATAATATACTTAGATATAAAACTTGTGGATGCTATTTACCAGTAGCACAGTCTTCTCCTTTCCACCCTGGCTGACATCCTGACACACATCGGCCTGTGTCCCAGGGACAGGTGACATTCCCTCCCTTACACATCCTGGCACTACAGTTACCAACACAACCAGCGCCATATTCCATTCCTTGGACGCAGGCTGTCGTTGACAAAAATAAAAGAAATCCACCGATTTAATGGAGCCATGTTCTAAACCAACATCCAGGCCGACGCAAAAACGAAAGTGAATCACCTTTTCGACTTTGGGAAAACACATGTTGATCATAACAAAACAAGGAACATGATGCAGATGATTCGGGATTCCACATCCGACAAGTAGAATCTCTGCATTGCAAAATTAAATGGTGGCACCTCAGAAAAAATGCCAGCTATGCCCTGAACAACATTATAAAAAAGGTAACGTGATCCTAACCGACTGAAACCATTGTGTTAGGAAAACGCAGAAGTGTTGAATATAACCTAATTCGTTTGTGTTGGCTCTTGTCACAAAATGATCAAGACATGTGTCATGTGTTTCAGGAAAGATATGCCATTATATTTGTGATGTTTTATTATACTTAGAGCTCAATATATATCGTATACAATCGTCCAATAAAGAAGCATCGTCTTCGTGGACGTGTTTTTAACATACTGACTTTTACCAGCCCATTTTTGTAAATAAATACTCACACATGCATGACATAGCATATGGACTATCTAATGTTTCTTACTTTGAGTGCAATCTTCTCTCTTCCACCCTGGCTGACATCCTGACACACATTGGCCTGTGTCTCGGGGACAGGTGTCATTTCCTCCCTTACACATCCGGGCACTACAGTTACCCTCACATACTGCTCCATATTCTACTCCTTGGACACAGGCTGTAGATGGAAAAAAGAATATTATGACAGGCTCTGGTGCCTGACCCTCCTTCACACATCCGGGCACTGAAGTTACCCAAACAACCAGCTCCACCCCCCACCCATGTTATACATGCTGCCAATGAAAAAAATACAAGCTGTGTACAGAAACGAACTAAGAGCTGACAGACATTAGTTATTCCAGAAATTCACTTCGTATATTGTTAAAAAATGTTCCACCATCAATCAGTAAGCCAAGTCAAAGATGAGCAAAATGTTCATGTTTGTCGACAATCTTTTTTTATTAAATTTACATTATGATTTTATGCCCATAATATACTTAGATATAAAACTTGTGGATGCTATTTACCAGTAGCACAGTCTTCTCCTTTCCACCCTGGCTGACATCCTGACACACATTGGCCTGTGTCCCGGGGACAGGTATCATTCCCTCCCTTACACATCCTGGCACTACAGTGACCAACACAACCAGCGCCATATTCCATTCCTTGGACGCAGGCTGTAGATGGAAAAAAGAATATTATGACAGGCTCTGGTGCCTGACCCTCCTTCTCCCATCCGGGCACTGCAGTTACCCAAACAACCAGCTCCACAACCCACCTATGTTATACATGCTGCCAATGAAAAGAATACAAGCTGTATATAGAAACGAACTAAGAGCTTACAGACATTAGTTATTCAAGAAATTCACTTTGTGTATTATTCAAAAATGTTCCACCATTAACCAGGACGCCAGTCAAAGATGGGCAAAGTGTACATGTATGTCGACAATTATTTTATTTATGAGGTTTATATTATGATTCTATGCTTCGACTTAGCTATAACACTTGTGGATGCTATTTACCAGTAGCACAGTCTCCTCCCTTCCACCCTGAGTGACATCCTGACACACATTGGCCTGTGTCCCGGGGACAGGTGAAATTCCCTCCCTTACACATCCGGGCACTGCAGTTACTAACACAACCAGCGCCATGTTCCACTCCTTGGATACAGGCTTTGGATGGAAAAAATATGTTTGGCCAAGATATGAACTCAAGCAAATCATAAGTGACAATAATATGGTAAATAGTGAATGATGGGCACACTCACCTTCTGTACAATCAATATGCTTCCATCCGTGTCTGCAGCCATTTTCACAATGCCCGGTCACGTGATTACAGGATGAGGTTCCACTACACCTCCTAGAGGAACACAGGTGGACACAGCCTTCTCCGTAGGAATTTACACATTCTGCAATAAGGACATGGGATGCATAACTAGATTCATATGTGAAGAATGACATTACGTCATCTGTTATAATCAATGTAAAAAAAGTATTTCGTTACGACCAACTGTCATAAACAAAATGAAGAACTGAACACCCAGACTATCGACTCCATCCGTGCTGTTGCAGTCATCGACTTGCTACAGCAATCTATCAAAATATTCAATACATAGACGACACATCGGTATAGTCACGTTTGAACGATCGGCAAATTGATAAATGACGAGTAACACGTAATCGCCACACGTTCCCCCGTCGGAAACTTACCCCGTCACGTTGATGGTGTCGGTCATTATGTATTACTGACAGAGGTACAAAGCAGTTCTTAACATATATTTCTCATCTTATGATGTAATAGGGATATAGAAAAATTGAGAGTGAGATCCAAAAATATCGTTCTTAAAAATAATGTCTAAATATTTTTAAAGAAACAATACTAAATTATTTTTCTTAATTACCATAGTTTAAACTATTAATCAGTGGGAATGTTTGTGTGAATATTCTCTGTCTGCTCTTACTCTGTGTACAGTCAGTTCCATTCCATCCTGCCTCACAGCCCTCAACACACTTCCCCGTTACGTGAGCACAGCTGGAGTTGTCGCCCTTGCAGTGCCTGTCTGGGCATCGCCCATTACAGTTTCTTCCATAGCCGCCAAATACACATACTGAAAGAATACCTTTATTATACGTTTGCTATTCATTCACTTTTCTTTCATTTTGCAAAAACCTTTGCAACAGGGCATTAATATTTACTGTATTGACACTACATTTATCAATAAAAGTAGCTGTGACTGTAACTACAAACCCGTGTCACACTTGTCTGGTTGCCAGCCTGGTAGACAGTCTCCACTCGGACAGACGCCGCTCAAGTAGTTACACACCTCGCCGTCACAGTGGCAGTAGTTGTTACAGTCAGCACCAAAGGTACCAGGACCACACACTTAAAATGCAAGACACAATTAAGTAACATATACAGTGATGGCAATGTACGGACTGAGATTAAAAACGAATATAATAAAGATACACAAGTGTGCACCTAGATTTTGTCAGAAAAATAATACTATAATTCCTACAATATACAAGAAAAACATTGTAGTCAATCTAATCAAACATCGCAGTGAAGTCCATGTATGATTTCATAAGTGCGTGTCATGTCTACAGCGAGAGGAATGCACTATTAACAACTAATGTGTCAGTTATTTCCCCTACAACTATGCTATATTTCAACTAACACATGGGAAATTCATATACACACAAAACGATGAGTTATTTTTGAAACTCAAATCACTTATTTATGTGTATATATATACCCAAGGACAGGAAATACCATAAATGACCCAACCTTCAACCTTCACTTCACAAAAATCCAAGACGGGTACGTTGACATTGTTGATCTCGTTGTTGACAGTTGTGGTGTACAGGACCAGAAAGCGTCCTTCATCTGAACACGTGACGTTCAAAACATCAGGTATGTCCGTCCCGTTTCTGTTCCCTGTCACGTTGTAGCAGTTGACTCCATCAGTAGAGGAGTTGTCAGTATCAGCGATGTAGATCTGGATACCATTCCGACGAACTATGTCTGTTACATATGAAAAGTGTAATGGGAATCGATGAAATCTAGTATTTCGTACGGGCGCTAGTCAGTGATAAATTACAACATGAATTACAGCATAATCCACCAACGTTTCAGTAGTGTGTCGGTTGCAAATGCAGTCTCACATGTCTGTGTCATAAAGCAGATGATTACAATGGACATTCTTAAAAGGAAAATCATTTACCCTGTATGCTTACCCGCAGTGAAATATTTTTTTCCTGCATTATCTATTTAGTTTCAAGTCCTTATTCGATTCGACCTATTTCATTTTATCTTATATCGAACTGTTAGCAAGAAGATGAATCCCAATAATTTTAAAACGCCACCGTGTTTGAGATTTAAGCAGGTTGGAGAACAGATTAATGACGTTATAGCTTAAGGCCACGACGAGCATGATCTGTGCCATGGATGCGTACGTACGTGTGCAATATAAACTGGTTTACACGCCTATTTCGTATTTGGCTATCTAGTGAAACTGAACGTTTTCCCATGTGGATATGTTGGTACTGGGACCATGATTCCAAGTGAACATTGATGCATGATGTATTGGTACTAGGACCATGGGTCGAAGATTTGTGATGTATCATCCTGCCAGGAACATGATGTATCCCTGGACATTGATTTATGATATTTGGACACTATGACAATGATTGCTAGCAGGACATTCATTCAGGATGTATTGCTGCTAGCATCATGATATTTTCCCCACCTAAAAGTTAGTTCTGAAATATGAAATATGGTTGATAACTGAAGTCATCCGTGATATATTTGTCATCCATTTTGCGATTTTCTGCTTCCCATGTTGCCATTTCCATGTAAGTACATGATAATATGCAGGTAACCAGTGAAATAAACAGTGTACGTTCTGCCGCTCTGATCTATATTCAGTTGCCATTATGTCAGCAGAGCCGCTGTTATCGTGGTCCATAAATGTGACGAGCCGACAATGCTGTCTGTCTGTGTCGACGGTACCATGACCGTGTTTCTAGTAGGACAGGGTGTTTAATGAACATCTGGCGTCATACTCACAATTAGTTCTGAAGTATATGACGACATCACGCACCAGTGTTTCGTTTCCGAGATCCACTCTCCACCAGGCAGATGTTATATTGGCATCATCATACACTGAATGAAAACATCTGTGTTCGTCACCGCCTTTTATGTCCCCATTGACGGCGTTTGATGATGGGAAATGGACACTACTTGATGATGTTGTCATGTTGAAGGCTAAGTTTTCTGTGACATACAATAGAGTGATTCCTAAATAACATTAACATCATGTTATAGTAATGTAAAAAGGAGGGAGTCAAGGAGACACCATAAGGGCGATGTCAATATGTACTAATATATAATGTATCGCAACGTGGAACATGTCAAATGTAAATTGTTGTAACTGCATTGATTGAAACAATGCACATTCTCATGCTTACCTTTCTGACAAGTCGGACCGGACCATCCATCGGAACAATTTGCAGGTTCGCAACCGGAAGTAGAGTTACAATTGACCAGGGGACAGTAACACTGGTAGCTGCACCTGTAGCCGTATTTACCTGGCGTACAGTCACCTGTAACAGAAATGATGAATAAAGTATATGCATTAGGTACAGACCGTTACACTCCACGTGAGACCACATTCGTCATATTGGCAGTTTCATAGTCTCCGCAGTGACGAATAGACAGACAAGGACATTTCTGCTCGCCCAGTACTTTATTGAACAAGTTATGTGTTCAAAGAAATAAAAATATGCCACAACAGACATCTGATCATACAGATATGTTATTCTGCATTCCACATGATGTCAGAAAGAGCCTAGCTCCATATACCACTATCCAGAAGGACGTAGACGTCAAAGGCCGTGGTAGGGTCACAAGTCAACAAATGCCAGAAACGTCTTATATTTTATTCCGCCAACCGCATACTTGTTTAATGTGAAACATCAGTAAACAGTGCTGTGTAATGGGCTAAAATGTCCGGAGCGTTATGCTGAACGCCGGTCACATACTTACATGAATATATGTGTGATTCAGTACGTCTGTGGGTAAAATAATGTTCACTGAGTGAACACATTTTAATGGTGGCACACATTTTGCATAAATTACTCCTCACTTTATAAACAAGATGATTGTCATCTGAACTATGAAAGAGAAATACACAGATTCAGTCTAAGGTGAATCCGAAATGATGCAGTACTTAGACCTTCACCAATTTACTTAAACCCACGGTATGGTGCTAAATGCTGGAAACATTCTCAGTAGTTGTCAGCATCGGTCTGGGACCGCTCCTGGCTTCTGATTGGTCGGTTTGGTCACATGACCTCTGTGACCTCTGATGACGTCATCAGGTCACGTGCAGGGCATTGTGGGTCATGCACGCGCATCCAAGAGGGCGGCACATCCGTTTCCGGGGAGGAGGGGGAAACCCAAAGAAGCGCTCGTACAATATGATAAGATCAAACATTGAAAGAAGCGCGTGTAAAATCCTGGATGTACAGTTTTTTCTTTTTCTTTTCTTTTTTAAGAAAAGAAAAATGTAGAAGCAGCGGTGGTGGTGGTGGTTGAGGGAGGTGGTGTCGGCGGCGGAGGGGGAAGGGAGAGGAGGGCGGCGGCGGCGGCGGCGGCGGCGGCGGCGGCGGAGGGGGAAGGGAGGGGAGGGTGGCGGCGTCGGCGGCGGAGGGGGAAGGGAGGGGAGGGGAGTGCGACGGCGGCGACGGCGAAGGGGGAAGAGAGGGGAGTGTTGCGGCGGCGGCGGCGGAGGGGGAAGGGAGGGGAGGGGAGGGCGGCGGCGGCGGAGGGCGAAGGGAGGGGAGGGTGGCGGCGGTGGCGAAGGGGGGAGGAGGAGGGATTAAGGGTTCTTTGTTTTCTTTTGGTGGGTGTGTGTCGATGGCATGTGTTATAGTTACAACACACCAAGACGAGTTGTTTGGGCAGTAAGAGCACGGTTTGGCTTGGAATTTGATTGACAGACAAAAGGACCGAGGGGCGGATCCCCGAGTTTTCCAAATTGGTCCGACCCTTGTGTTTGTTTGTTTTTTTTCATAGGAAAGAACTACATTTTCAATGGGAGAGGAAGCACAACTCGGCTCGGGTGCTGTCTTCTTATTAGTCAGATTTCGACCAATCAGAGACCTTCTATAAATAGATCGTCTTGTTTGTGTATATACAGGAAGGGCTGACGTTCATCAGGCACTCATCGCCACCATAACGGACAAGCAGAGTACACGCTATCGTTTGGAGAGGAAAGACACCACACGCTCCAGGCGGTTAAAAACTGCTAACCATACGTATCGTTTAACCTTCAACCCAGACTACTTGGACACCGTACCACCGGTCGGCGTTCCCATAGAACTGCCGGCTTTATTTGACAGGGTGATCGATGACTTTTATCAACAGATGTCAGGCCAGAAGGGGGATCGTATTGGTCTAGGTATCGACCATCCCACTTTGAACACCCCCATACGGATTCCCTTTCGTCGCTTTAAAGATCTCCGTGGGCTAGATATTTTGCATGCCATGGAAAAAGTCCACCAGTCCAACAAAGCCCTGAACATCAATGCCACCATGGTTGTGACTTTAGTACACGTAGCAGATCCCGACAGGCTAGGATCAGGCAGTGGTGGTCCCCGTCTGAAAAACGTGGTTGGACTTGAAGCATTTTTAACATGCAAAAAGGGTATTGTACGGATCAAGAACAAAGATCAATCCTGTTTGGCAAGGGCCCTGGTGGTGGCACAGCATTATGCCCAGAAGCCCAACCCTCTGACCCCAGAATGGACCAACCAGAGAAAGAGACTGACGAGAACGCATCGAGTCGACGTTAAAGGCATACGGGCATGGGACTTGTTTCGACGCTTTGGCCTGCCTGAAGTTCACTGTCGGGGCCTGGACGACCTAGTACGCGTGGGACGCGCCTTGGCCCACCTGAATTATCAACTGAAAGTCTACAGTCAAGAGGTGGACCAGAGACTGATGTACAAGTGTGATGAGGCTCCACCCAACACCACCGTGCTGCATTTATATCATCATGATCAGCACTACGATGTGATCACTTCCATGCCAGCTTTTTATGCGTCTATCCATTACTGTGAACGCTGCGACCAACGTTACGACCACCCCGAAAACCATCCCTGCACCAAGCAATAGTGCTGTCACCGCTGACTCCAGTCCAGCTATTGCGGGCCCAAGGAAGAGCATGGGATCCCTTGCTTGACATGTCAACGTTGGTTCCCAAATCAGCAGTGTTACATCCAACATCTCCAGTCACCATCAGAGGGAAAACCAAGCGCCTGTCAATCGATTCATTGGTGCCCGACCTGTTTTCAGCTGGTTCGCGTCTTGGAGACCCCCATGGCTCATCTTGAGTGCTCAGATGAAGAACATCCCTGCTAAGTGTGTGGAGAACCCATGACCCCAGACCATTGCTGTTACATGACACCTCTCCGTGAAGCCCACAAGGAAGAGGAGGGGAAGGAAGAGAAGGAAGGGGAAGTGGGGGAAGAGAAACAACATCAAATACGAGACAACGTCAAATACGTGTTCTATGATTTTGAATGCATGCAAGACACGGGGGAGCACATTCCAAATTTGTGTGTGGTGCAGTTAGGATCTGGACGATGCATTGGTGAAGCGAGCAAGGAGTTGTGCGAACACTGTCCATGGAGAGAAGAGGGTTATGGTCCCAGCCGGGAGATCGTGTTTCGAGGCCCTACCACGCGATGTGATGTGTGTGTGTGGTTGACAACGCTGGCTGAAAAAACCAAGAAGAAGAAGAACCAAGAGGAAGAGAAAGATGCATGCAAGGGGACAACAGCATGCAAGGGGACAACGTCACGGCTTGGGAAAAGAAAACAGGATTGAACCCTCTCAACTCATTCACCCACAAAACGTCAGCAACGTTCATCACCCCAGGTGGAGGAAGAGGGGAAGGGGGAGGATGCCATGGAGATGGATGCGCCCACATCGTTGGAGGAAAAGGGGAAGGAGAAGACAAAGACGAAGATGAAGAACACAACCACGGTCCAGAAGGAGGAGGTCATTTATGTGATGGCACATAATGCACGATCCTATGATTTGCACTTGATCCTCGAGGGCCTGTACCCACATCCGGTGACACTCCCCACCAAGATTCGAACTGGACAACAGATTTTACAGGTGACCCTGGGACGCTTGTGTTTCGAAGACAGTTTAAATTTCATATCCTACCCACTGAAAGCATTTCCAAAGAGCTTTGGGCTGAAAGAACTGAAAAAGGGGTATTTTCCACCCTTTTTCAATTCCCGAAGCCAACCAGACCCACAGAGGTCCCTATCCACCAGCTGTCATGTACGATCCTGATGGCATGTCCAGTGGCATACCCAAAACGTGCAAGAAGGAGCCTTTTTTGACTTGCAAGGAGAACTCTTAGCCTACTGCCAGAGCGATGTGGATATTTTGAGAAGGGGATGCGCTGACTTCCGACAGAACGCCATCAGGACGGTTCGCATGGATCCCTTTGTAGAAGTGATGACAGCTGCTGCGTTCACCATGAAATTCTTCGGAAAACACGATCTGAAACCTGATACCATAGCAATTCTTCCACCTCAAGGCTTCCAACCCAAGAGAAACTATTCCCAGGCCTGTATGCACTGGTTAAGTTATCTGATGGAGACTGACCCCAATCTGCACCTCCAGCTCGCCAGGAATGGAGGTGAAAAAGAGTTAACGTGTGGAGAGACCGGTATAGTGTGGATGGCTACGATCCAGCGACAGGCATCTACGAATTCTTAGGGTGTTTCTGGCATGGGTGTCAAACATATCACAAGACCAAACGTGGAGAACGTCATCCCGTCCTGGGCACATCGTTGGGAGCATGTTATACTGACACACGCTACCGCCTGAGTCTCTTGAGCTAGCACCCTTAGGTGAAACGGATCGTCAAAAAAATGCAACAGGAGGATTACGCTTTGCGTGCTTTCTTGCAGGGACCCCACTTTTTCCACGTCCCTGGACCACTCAACCCTCGCGACGCCTTCTATGGAGGACGCACCAATGCCACTCGATTATGCTACGAAGCCCAAGAAGGACGACCATCAAGTACATCGATATCTGTTCCTTTTATCCTTACATTTGTAAGACCGGAGCGTTTCCCATGGGACACCCAACCCTTCTCCATCAACCACCTGCGGACACGTTGTTTGAGCTGAAAAGACTTATCCAATGTCGTGTCCTACCCCCGAAACGACTCTACCATCCGCTACTGCCCTACAGATCGGGTGGCAAACTGCTCTGTCCTTTGTGCCGTACGTGTGCCGATACCAGGTCATGGGTGGGTACGTACGCCACCATAGAACTCCATGAAGCCGTGAAGAAGTATGACTACTAGGTGCTTAAGATCTACGACGTTTGGCATTTTGACACCTTTGTACAGCATGACCCCGACACCCAGCAAGAAGGACTCTTTGACACTTATATCGACCGTCATTTCAAGGAGAAGCTCGAAACCAGCGGATACCCCGAGGGATGTACGGATCACGATGCTTACATCCATGAGATCTATGATAAAGAAGGCATTCGGTTGGACAAGGACCGC